CAGGTATTTGAGGTTCAACATGTAAGAGAGTAGAAAGTTACAGGTATTTGGGTTCAACATGTAGAAGTAGAAAGTACAGGTATTTGTGTTCAACATGTAAGAAGTAGAAAGTACAGGTATTTGAGTTCAACATGTAAGAAGTAGAAAGTACAGGTATTTGGTTTCACATGTAAGAAGTAGAAAGTACAGGTATTTGAGTTCAACATGTAAGAAGTAGAAAGGGTAGCAGGTATTTGTGTTCAACATGTAGAAGTAGAAAGTACAGGTATTTGTGTTCAACATGTAAGAAGTAGAGAAGTACAGGTATTTGTGTTCAACATGTAGAGAAGTAGAAAGTACAGGTATTTGAGGTTCCAACATGTGAGAAGTAGAAAGTACAGGTATTTGAGTTCAACATGTAAGAAGTAGAAAGTACAGGTATTTTGGGGTTCAACATGTAAGAAAGTAGAAGTACAGGGTATTTGAGTTCAACATGTAAGAATAGAAAGTACAGGTATTTGGGTTCAACATGTAAGAAGTAGAAAAGTACAGGTATTTGTTTCAACATGTAAGAAGTAGAAATAGTACAGGGTATTTGAGTTCAACATGTAGAGAAGTAGAAAGTACAAAGGGTATTTGAGTTCAACATGTAAGAAGTAGAAAGTACAGGTATTTGAGTTCAACATGTAAGAAGTAGAAGTACAGGGGTATTTGGTGTTCAACATGTAAGAAGTAGAAAGTACAGGTATTTGTGTTCAACATGTAAGAAGTAGAAAGTTCAGGTATTTGAGTTCAACATGTAAGAAGTAGAAAAGTAACAGGTATTTGAGTTCAACATGTGAGAAGTAGAAAGTACAGGTATTTGAGTTCAACATGTGAGAAGTAGAAAGTACAGGTATTTGGTGTTAACATGTAAGAAGTAGAAAGTACAGGTATTTGAGGTTCAACATGTAAGAAGTAGAAAGTAAAGGTATTTGAGTTCAAACATGTGAGAAGATAGAAAGTACAGGTATTGAGTTCAACATGTGAGAAGTAGAAAGTACAGGTATTTGGTTCACATGGTAAGAAGTAGAAAGTACAGGTATTTGGTTCAACATTAAGAAGTAGAAAGTACAGGTATTGAGTTCAACATGTAAGAAGTAGAAAGTACAGGTATTTGTGTTCAACATGTAAGAGTAGAAAGTACAGGTATTTGTGTTCAACATGTAAGAAGTAGAAAGTACAGGTATTTGAGTTCAACATGTAAGAAGTAGAAAGTACAGGTATTTGGTTCACATGTAAGAAGTAGAAAGTACAGGTATTGAGTTCAACATGTAGAAGTAGAAAGTACAGGTATTTGGGTTCAACATGTAAGAAGTAGAAAGTTCAGGTATTTGAGTTCACATGTGAGAAGTAGAAAGTACAGGTATTTGAGTTCAACATGTAAGAAGTAGAAAGTACAGGTATTTGTGTTCAACATGTAAGAAGTAGAAAGTACAGGTATTTGAGTTCAACATGTAAGAAGTAGAAAGTACAGGTATTTGAGTTCAACATGTAAGAAGTAGAAAGTACAGGTCAAAGTAAAAATTAGTCAGAAAAATAAGCAGTGGAGTAAAGTACTGATACCAGAACAATGTACTTAGGTACAGTAACAAAGTATTTGTACTCCACTACTTCCCACCTCTGTGGATAATAAACACTGATGAAACATAGTCGTGATTAAGGCAGTCTCAGAGCAACAGGGTGAAAGTGTTGTTGAAGCTTCTGTAATGTCAGCATTAACCCTGAACCACAGGTTATCTGTATGTATCCAAGCCTACCCTTTAAACCTGTTTATGGTAAAGCAGATAAGAACAAAGCAAATGAAAGTTCCACTGCTTCCATTATCCAGAAGAAAGAACCTTGAACCAACTGCAACAAGGATGTAGAAAGATATATGGACCTGTGGATAGAAATCTACCGTGCACGGCTCTCAGATGGTGATTTATGCCCTATAATCGTGGTCCTCTTCAAACAGCATTTAACAGATTACAGATAAGTACTGTGTCTGGTGGAAGGATCTTACTACGGCGTGGAAAAACAGCCTGACTGTTAAAGGCAGTGGCGTTTCTATATGTACAAAAGTGGTGGGGCACAAAAAACGTAGACGTCTATATATAAGCTTCTGCAGTGACGTGCAATGGCTGCTGAGGCTCTGACTCTTCAGGTTTACAAATATTATATTTTGACCTAAATCAAAATCTAATATTATTTTCAAAAGCTTTTTTTGTCTGATGCTTCGATTAATTTTAACAGACAGTTCAACAGAAGGATACCCAACAAATGTAATTGTATCATTTAAATATTGAATTGTTCTCTCTTAGTAAGATCCCATTTTCAATAAAATGGTGGTCCCTTGACTTGAAGATTAAGTCCATTTGCCTATCCTTCTGGACAAACATCTATTACTTTTTTGCAAAACCCTCTTCTTCATGTCTCTTCTACATCAACATGTGTCCCCTCTTCTTCATGTCTCTTCTACATCAACATGTGTCCCCTCTTCTCCATGTCTCTTCTACATCAACATGTTGTCCCCTCTTCTTCATGTCTCTTCTACATCAACATGTTTCCCCTCTTCTTCATGTCTCTTCTACATCAACATGTGTCCCCTCTTCTTCATGTCTCTTCTACATCAACATGTTTCCCCTCTTCTTCATGTCTCTTCTACATCAACATGTGTCCCTCTTCACTCTTCTACTCACATGTGCCCTCTCTTCATGTCTCCACATCAACATGTGTCCCCTCTCTTCATGTCTCTTCTACATCAACAGGTTCCCCTCTTCTTCATGTCTCTTCTACATCAACATGTGTCCCCTCTTCTTCATGTCTCTTCTACATCAACAGTGTGTCCCCTCTTCTTCATGTCTCTTCTACATCAACATGTGTCCCCTTTCTTCTGGTCTCTTCTTCTCACAGTGTGCCCTCTTCTTAGTCCTTCTACATCAACATGTGTCCGTCTCCCTCTTCTTCTGTCTCTTCTACATCAACATGTGTCCCCTCTTCTTCATGTCTCTTCTACATCAACAGTGTGTCCCCCTTCTTCATGTCTCTTCTTCATCAAAGGGTGTCCCCTCTTCTTCATGTCTCTTCTACATCAACATGTGTCCCCTCTTCTTCATGTCTCTTCTACATCAACATGTGTCCCCTCTTTTCATGTCTGCTTCTACATCAACATGTGTCCCCTCTTCTCATGTCTCTTCTACATCAACATGTGTCCACTCTCTTCCATGTCTCTTCTAATCAACATGTGTCCCCTCTTCTTCATGTCTCTTCTACATCAACATGTGTCCCCTCTTCTTCATGTCTCTTCTACACTTCAACATGTGTCCCCTCTTCTTCATGTCTCTTCTACATCAACATGTGTCCCCTCTTCTTTCATGTCTCTTCTACATCAACATGTGTCCCCTCTTCTTCATGTCTCTTCTACATCAACATGTGTCCCCTCTTCTTCATGTCTCTTCTACATCAACATGTGTCCCCTCTTCTTCATGTCTCTTCTACATCAACATGTGTCCCCTCTTCTTCATGTCTCTTCTACATCAACATGTGTCCCCTCTTCTTCATGTCTCTTCTACATCAACATGTGTCCCCTCTTCTTCATGTCTCTTCTACATCAACATGTGTCCCCTCTTCTTCATGTCTCTTCTACATCAACATGTGTCCCCTCTTCTTCATGTCTCTTCTACATCAACATGTGTCCCCTCTTCTTCATGTCTCTTCTACATCAACATGTGTCCCCTCTTCTTCATGTCTCTTCTACATCAACATGTGTCCCCCTCTCTTCATGTCTGTTCTACATCAACATGTGTCCCCTCTTCTTCATGTCTCTTCTACATCAACATGTGTCCCTCTTCTTCATGTCTCTTCTACATCAACATGTGTCCCCTCTTCTTCATGTCTCTTCTACATCAACATGTGTCCCCTCTTCTTCATGTCTCTTCTACATCAACATGTGTCCCCTCTTCTTCATGTCTCTTCTACATCAACATGTGTCCCCTCTTCTTCATGTCTCTTCTACATCACATGTGTCCCTCTTCTTCATGTCTCTTCTACATCAACATGTGTCCCCTCTTCTTCATGTCTCTTCTACATCAACATGTGTCCCCTCTTCTTCATGTCTCTTCTACATCAACATGTGTCCCCCTCTTCTTCATGTCTCTTCTACATCAACATGTGTCCCCTCTTCTTCATGTCTCTTCTACATCAACATGTGTCCCCTCTTCTTCATGTCTCTTCTACATCAACATGTGTCCCCTCTTCTTCATGTCTCTTCTACATCAACATGTGTCCCCTCTTCTTCATGTCTCTTCTACATCAACATGTGTCCCCTCTTCTTCATGTCTCTTCTACATCAACATGTGTCCCCTCTTCTTCATGTCTCTTCTACATCAACATGTGTCCCCTCTTCTTCATGTCTCTTCTACATCAACATGTGTCCCCTCTTCTTCATGTCTCTTCTACATCAACATGTGTCCCCTCTTCTTCATGTCTCTTCTACATCAACATGTGTCCCTTCTTCATGTCTCTTCTACATCAACATGTGTCCCCTCTGTGGAAAGAGACTCTGAAAGTTTCAGGAACAAAGATTCTCTCTCTTTTTGATCCATTTCTATAAAAACCTGTCTGAAAATGAGCTGATCAGATTTTGGCCACTTGATGATGTCATAACGATGTTTTGTCTTGGTAACCATTAGCCAATCAGCAACCAAGGTACCCCCCCCCCCCCCCTTATCACCTGAATCTCCTCTAGAGCTCCATTGAGTTCTTTGTAACCAAATGTCTCTCAGAGGGGCGTGGGGAGGGGCTCCTTACTTTCATCTAAAGTAACAGACAGAGAATCAGCACTTTGGAAACAGGGCTGAAACAGAGGGGATTATGGGTAATGCTGCCATGATCTGTTTGGTGTTTCAGCCAATCAGAGACAGGCTCTGGATATATCTGAGACCTGGGATATATTGATGAGAACAGTATGATAGGGGACCTTTAACTGATTGTTTGCTTACTTCTGCAGGGAGTAGAAGAGCGGTGCGATGACCAGCAGCACCAGCAGCAGGACGAGGGCACTGATGATCCCTGAGATCTGCGTCTGGCATCCGGTCGACTCCTTCACCAGCGTCTTCGTCAGCGCTGCACTGGTGGTGAAGCAGCGGAAGAACGACGGCAGGATGTTGCAGAAACCAATGGCGTACATCTCCTGGTTGGCGTCCACCGTGTAGCCGTGCTTCTTGGCGAACATCTCGGACAGAGAGACGGTGATGGCGAATCCAACGATGGCGATGGAGAAAGCATCGACGGCCACATTTGGGATCAGAGACCAAAGAGGCATCTGAGGAGGGAGGAAACCAGTGGGGATGGTACCAGCAACACCAGAACCTGTCAGGGGTCAGACGTTACACTCACAACATTAGAGAACAAGACAAAGAGGAATCAATAAACACAGAGACGGGAAGAGTTAGAGGTGGGAAGTATTGGAGTACAAATACTTTGTTACTGTACTTCAGTACATTTATCTGGTATCAGTACTTTACTCCACTACTTAGTACTTTGACTTCTTACACTTTGAACACAAATACCTGTACTTTCTACTTCTCACATGTTGAACTCAAATACCTGTACTTTCTACTTCTTACATGTTGAACACAAATACCTGTACTTTCTACTTCTCACATGTTGAACTCAAATACCTGTACTTTCTACTTCTTACATGTTGAACTCAAATACCTGTACTTTCTACTCTTCTTACATGTTGAACTCAAATACCTGTACTTTCTACTTCTTACATGTTGAACTCAAATACCTGTACTTTCTACTTCTTACATGTTGAACTCAAATACCTGTACTTTCTACTTCTTACATGTTGAACTCAAATACCTGTACTTTCTACTTCTTACATGTTGAACTCAAATACCTGTACTTTCTACTTCTTACATGTTGAACTCAAATACCTGTACTTTCTACTTCTTACATGTTGAACTCAAATACCTGTACTTTCTACTTCTCACATGTTGAACTCAAATACCTGTACTTTCTACTTCTCACATGTTGAACACAAATACCTGTACTTTCTACTTCTTACATGTTGAACACAAATACCTGTACTTTCTACTTCTTACATGTTGAACTCAAATACCTGTACTTTCTACTTCTTACATGTTGAACTCAAATACCTGTACTTCTACTTCTTACATGTTGAACTCAAATACCTGTACTTTCTACTTCTTACATGTTGAACTCAAATACCTGTACTTTCTACTTCTTACATGTTGAACTCAAATACCTGTACTTTCTACTTCTTACATGTTGAACACAAATACCTGTACTTCTACTTCTCACATGTTGAACATCAAATACCTGTACTTTCTAAAGCAAATACCTGTACTTTCTACTTCTCACATGTTGAACACAAATACCTGTACTTTCTACTTCTTACATGTTGAACTCAAATACGTGTACTTTCTACTTCTTACATGTTGAACACAAATACCTGTACTTTCTACTTCTTACATGTTGAACTCAAATACCTGTACTTTATACTTCTTACATGTTGAACTCAAATACCTGTACTTTCTACTTCTCACATGTTGAACACAAATACCTGTACTTTCTACTTCTCACTGTTGAACTCAAATACCTGTACTTTCTACTTCTTACATGTTGAACTCAAATACCTGTACTTTCTACTTCTTACATGTTGAACTCAAATACCTGAACTTTCGACTTCTTACATGTTGAACTCAAATACCTGTACTTTCTACTTCTTACATGTTGAACTCAAATACCTGTACTTTCTACTTCTCACATGTTGAACTCAAATACCTGTACTTTCTACTTCTCACATGTTGAACTCAAATACCTGTACTTTCTACTTCTTACATGTTGAACTCAAATACCTGTAGTTTCTACTTCTTACATGTTGAACTCAAATACCTGTACTTTCTACTTCTCTCATGTTGAACTCAAATACCTGTACTTTCTACTTCTTACATGTTGAACTCAAATACTTGTACTTTCTACTTCTCTCATTTTCCAAACAGCTGGTTCCTTTAGTCTGAATGTGTGTTTGATGCGTGATCATTATTCTTTAGAGTCATTGCGTACCTATTGATTTGAACACGATCCGTGTATCCATCATTTCCTGGTCTTCTCTAAAGAAGAGGGACCAATGGAAACGTTGTCATGTTGCCGTTGCTCAACATGGAAATCACGTCTTTGGTGGTCGTAGAAATAGATGGGCCTTTTTCCAGAAACTAAATAGCATGGCTTAAATCACATGATTATATAAAACAGATTCTACAAACCGTAGTCGATGTTGAAGTTTCCAAAATGAGAAGCCAGCGTCGCTATCACCACCACGAAGAGCTCGAAGGGAATTGGAGCCTGGGTGAGGAGAAAGAAAAGAGAATAAGATAAAATAGGATTAACATCAACAGGGTCAAATAGAAAAACAAGACAGCACAGATTCACACAGATTAATACAATTAAAGATAACATCAAAGATAACCATTTTAAATGAGAAAATAACTATTGAAAGGTCTCCTATCATGCTATTTTTAGGCATATATTATGGGTCTCAGACATATAAAAAATATATAAAAAAACGTCTCTCTGAAACAGGATGGAGCTCAAACTCTTTCTCTCTCTCAGGTTTACCACAAGGTGACTTCCTTTTGATTTCCTGCTTCTTCACACACTCTCTCCAGTACAGGTTAGCTCTGAGTGTTAGCATGCTAATGTAAACACAGACCATATTACTTCCAGAACACATCTCATTGTTTCTGACAGCAACGTTTCTGATTGGCCCGTGGGGGTAAAGCCCGCCCACATTTTAGTAATGTCGTCATGACGCAGCAAATCTGGATCAGCTCCGTTGTTCCCCGTTTTTAGAGATGTGGGTACGGAGGAGAAGAGAGAGGGGTTTATTTCTGACACACCGGGGACACACACAAGGGACACATGGGGACACACCGGGGACACCGAGGATACACCGGGGGGACACCGAGGATGGGGACACATGGTGATGTAGAGGAGACATCACTTTGAGAGTCTCCTGACACACCGGGGGGACACCGAGGACACACTGGGGACACACCGGGGATACATGGTGATGTAGAGAAGACATCACTTTGAGAGTCTCCTGACACACCGGGGACACACCGGGGACACACCGAGGACACACTGGGGACACACCGGGGACACACCGAGGACACACTGGGGACACATGGTGATGTAGAGAAGACATCAAAAAGTGCATTTTGCATAATAGGAGAGCTTTAAGGCAGTAAAATAAGTTGTTTATTTGCTTCTGGACAAAAGTTAAGGGTAAAATGTTTAACAAGAAATGCTTTTATTTTGAAGTGCAAGTATGTGTCCTGCTCATTCTCTTTCCTGTTATGTTTTGAAATGAGTATGTCGAGTGCATTTCCCCCGTCTTCTAGCGTTCTTGTTGGAAACTGTTTTATTAATTTAAAGTAAAGACGTTCAGTTTGGACTAGACTCGCTTTGTTCTTCATTCGGAGCTTCCATTACACATCAGGTAGAGGGGTGAAGATGATGGGAGGCTGGAACAAACCATTCACTCCAGCACTTTGCTCTGTAACGGCCAATCGGACAGAGCTGGACCCGGATACCCTGAACAAGACAAGCCTGTTGCCCTCCTGGCTCCAACATGTTAGAACAAGCTCCCCATTGACACCAGGCGACTGCAGACTGAATGGCTACCTGTTTAGCTTCTGCTGTGGCAACCCCCCAACAATGCATCAGTTTGGCTTATTTGAAGCGAATATACCTGCAAGCTGTGTCTTTATGGTTTATTTCACTCATCGTTAGTCACTTTGGATTAGAGCATCAGCTAAATGAATGTAAATTAAAAACGTTAATTAATTGTCCTTTCTAGTTCATCTTGGGCTCAGACTTACTCTTCTCAGTTGAATGTTATTCCTGCTTTAGCTCAGTTTTGCTTTGACAATTATACCAAAACTATTAGCATGCCAAAATAAGATTAACCCCAAAATATAGCTGAGACTGATGCCCCGGCCACACGAGGACGAAAACGGCCGTTTGCGTTACTGTTTAGTGTCATATAGACCATTCGGCCACACGAGGACGACCGAATACGGCACTAAACGACTGAGGAAACGATAACGGGTCCCAAGGTGGATAGAACGGCATACGCAACGCTCTGGGGGGTCAAACGGCTCCGTGTGTGCGCCCTATACGAACATTTTCTGATAATGATGAGGCAATAGCCCGCCTCTCCCCACCTCTTCTGCTCACCTCCGCTTACCCCGCGCCATTGCTGATGTGTTTCGCCACCAACAACAACAACAATGGCGGATCGCAGAGTTGCTATCGTGCTCCGGACGCTACTGACCATGCTACAGTTCTTTGTGCAACATCTACAGCAGACTTACACATCCGGGGGGGATCTTACTCGCTGCTTTTGTGGATATGTACTGCAGCTTCAGCGATCATTTTCTGATAATGATGAGGCAATAGCCCCGCCTCTCCCCACCTCTGCTGCTCACCCCCGCGTCAAAGTAAACTGCACACTGAATTCAGATTATTTATCTTTCTCTCGATATGGACATAAACGCGAGTGAAGTCTAATCTGACAGGACGGAGACACCTCTCAAACTACCTAAACTAGTTATAAATATATTTATTTTTACTGTCGGCCGGGTCACTCATTACCAGTGTTGGGTGTAACACGTTACAAGTAACGCGTTACTGTAACTTGGCAGTAACTAGTACTCTAACGCATTACTTTTTTAATTCAGTAACTCAGTTACCGTTACTACATGGTGCGTTACTCCGTTACTGCGTTAGTTTTTTTATATAGTCAACAGCCAGGCGAACAGAGATGAGAACTGTACTTAAGTACAGTACTTGAGTAAATGTACTTTGATACTTCCTGTGTCACATGCGGAGACACGCTGTGGGCGTGTTTGTGTTGTTTACTAGTGATGGCGAGATGAAGCCTTATGAAGCTTTGAAGCTTTCCAGCCAATTGGTTCGCAAAAGGGTTCATCTCATGAGGGTTCATCATGGGCTTCATTTGAACACAAACCCCCTGCTGGTCAAAGTGTGTAAAACAGGCAGATTGGACATCTCAACAGTGTGCTCTATCTCATACCAAGTTCCCAATGAGTAAAGCCTTAGAATAACTCTAAACAACCAACATAAAATCATTTTCATGTTAACAATATTGTTTTTATTCCAGTTGAATGATTGTGATTGAAAAGCCTAAGGAGGCTGGTAAACATTGCAAAGAGGGATTTGTATTCCTTACTAATATTCATAAACGTAACCATGTTGTAGCCTGAGAAAGGCTAAACCATATCAAAGAATACATTTATTAACTACATTATCTCATTTAGCTGTAGCTTTTATAAACAACAAAAAATACGTATCGACGAGTCGTTGAACCAGCTGAGCCACAGCACACACGCTGAATCTCACTGAAAACACTGTAACATATTTATTCCTGTATTTATTCATTCATGTTTTTTTTCCTACATTTATTTATGCTTGCATCTATTTATACTTATGACATGTTCCGACCTCTATATAGGTGAGGTTCTGAGCTCTTTTAATTCCATCGTGTCACCAGCGGGCCCGGGTACAGGAGGGGTAATTTATTATACATCCATTGGTATTATGAGCGTTGTGGTTCAACGGTTCAACCGATCAGAATCGCTTCGTGAAGCAGTCACGTGGTATCGACAGGCAGCGAGGCTTCGTTTGTCATCGATGACGTCACTGGCCCAAAACGATACAAGCCTCGATACAAGGTTCACAAAAAGCTTCGGGGATTACTCGACACACGCTCCGAAGCCTCGGCGCAATACGTAACATCACTATTGTTTACTAACAAGACTATCATGGCGGCGGCGGAGCTCAAGTCTAGTTTCTCCACCTGGAGATATTCTCACTATTTCACTTTTGTCGAGCACAAAGAAAAGAAAGTTTCTGCTAAATGTAAGTTGTGTCCTGGCGGGTCAAAGATCCTATCTACTGCCCAAACCAGTCATTCAAATCTCTTCTGCAAAAACAACATGCTGGGACGAAGCTAGTAGCTAAGACCACAGAGACTCAGCCGACGCCACTCCACCTCCACCTAAGCAACAGCGGCTGGATTTTAACCGAGGGACTGCTAGCCAGGGAAAAGTCGATAAAGCCATTGCACGGTATGTTGTAGAACACATGCAGGCTATTGCTACAGTGGAGTCACCCGCTTTCAGGGAGCTAGTTAGCATGATAGCATGTCCGGGCGGCACACGGCATATGGGATGGAAAACTTTTTCCAACTACCTGGAGAAAGAATATACAAAAATGGAAAGCCAGCTAATATCGATGCAATCCAGATTGCATATAATGCATGTCAAGTTGATCAACAGATTGTATTATTCTCCAATGCAATAACAGTACTGAAAGGAAGGCTATAAGGGCATTAATGGGAGACCTTTTTTAAGTAACTACAACGTTACTTTTCACAGTAACGCATTACTTTTGGGTTTAAGTAACTAGTAATGGTAACTAGTTACTGGTTTTCAGTAACTAGCACAACACTGCTCATTACTGGATCAGCTGCTGCATGAGACAGACACTGGCGCTGTCCGAAGAGAGGGAGGAAAAAGAGAGGCTCCGTGACCTTTGACCGGCACTTTTATAATTTTGTCGGAAGATTTAAACTTTAATTCACGTTGACTGGCGAAAAACTCTGCCCGCTTCCCTCGGCCCCCACCGCGGAGAATAAACAGAAGGGCAACCATGACAACCATGCTTCTTCTGCTTTTGTGGAGGAAGTTACAGCGCCACGTACAGGCTCCTGCTTATGTACTGCAGCTTCTCCAGCGGTTGGAGCTAAACGGAGCGGTCTCGTGTGGACAGACACTATCCGGATAACTATTGCGTGACGGAAGCTTGTTTGCGATTGCGTTAATCCTATGCGTTTAGCCGTTTTCGTCCTCGTGTGGCCGGGGTCTGAGATGCAGTCATTGGCAGGTTCTTACCAAGCGGCAAACCGTGGGGTAGAGCTGGGAAGCCAATACGGAAGTGCCACACACTGCAGTTCATACATGGGCCGCTAGGTATGTCGTGCTGTGCGCTTGAATGTACTAACAGAACTTCCAAGAAGTCTAAAATGATAATATTATTATACATGTTAACCCCGTTCGCAGGTGTTTGTGTGCTTGGTTGCTTAGCTTGTTACTTATTAGCCAGCTAAGGACGTAACCCTTTATGCATACATACACATTTTAGTTTATGATTCAGCCTTGGGTAAGACTTTTATAGTCGATGGCTATGACGCCCATAATGCTAAATGGGAGCAAATGTTAATAGGGGACCCGATTATCCCAGTGGTGGCCGCCGGAGCTAACGGAGCCGCAGGGGGCTAGCTCCAGCCGGCGTCCCGGAGCTAGCCCACTGCGGCTCCGTTAGGTCCGGGCGGTGGAGTCCGTCTTTTCTCAACGTGTGAATGACAAGCATTAAGAATAACAAAATATAGCTAATTCTCTTGCAGATTGTTTATATAGGGGTACTACACTGTTAGCAGTAACTTGGTATGCATGTATTTCATGTTAGCTTAGCTTCTTAGCCTGAGCTAGCTCTGTTTACTTCCAGTTCGGAGGCAGCTGGTCCCGCCTCGGCTCCGCCTCTTTGCCCTTATTTGGAGCAGGCGGGATTAGACTCTGACGTCACAGTCGAGCCGTTAGTGGCCGACTCCGCCTACTAAGGGCTTCACGGCAACTCTGCAGAATTCTATGGGTGACGTCACGGATACTACGTCCATTTATATATACAGTCTATGGTTCTTACACCTTCTTTAACCAAAGTAAACAACTACCTAACCCAGACTACTCTTATCAGAGAGAGAGAGAGAGAGAGAGAGAGAGAGAGAGAGAGAGAGAGAGAGAGAGAGAGAGAGAGAGAGGAGAGAGAGAGAGAGAGAGAAGAGAGATAGAGAGAGAGAGAGATAGAGACTTTAAATGTAAAGGACTGTTTAGGCAGGAAGGCGGACCCAAGAGCAGTACAACATGTGAAATCAAGTAGTCTTAACCAATAGCAAGCTTCAATTGACCAAAAAGCTGACTATAATCTTGGTCAACAAGGACTAACCCGGTCTGTACCTTCAGCTTGGCTTTGAAGCGGTCGTTGAGCTCCTTGGTCGGTAACAGGATCATCAAACACACCAGACTGGTCACCAGGTCGCAGACGTTGGTGTTCTGCAGGTTGGAGAGCACGCTGTACCACGTTTTGAAGAGAGTGAACCAGCCCTGAGGACGAGGGATCTTCAGACCCAGAAGGTATTTGAACTGGGAGGTGAGGATGGTCAGAGACGCTCCGGTAGCAAAGCCACTGAGCAGAGAGTCTGAGAGGTAGACGGAGACGAAGCCCACCTGGAAAATACCCATCAGCACCTGGAAGAAGAGAGCGGGAATAAGAGGGAGGGGTCAAGGCTTTTATTGTCCTTTATACATAGCTACAGTGTAGTTAGTTAGACTTTAGGGTAATTTCACTCTGTAACGAAACCTTCCTAAGCAAAATTGGCCATTCGTCCAAAACCTAGATCTGTTTTTCCCTGAGTCCCCAGATTGTCAGTTCTTGCAAATATTAGGACTGTACCCGAATATCTGAACATTCGGTCGTCGGCCTACTATTCGGTTTTCAATTTCGTTATTCGGATATTTGTTTTTTTTGTCCTAAATGTATGCTATCAATAAAGGCGAATTGCCACATTATTATACTATATTTATACTTTTTAATTGCACTGTTAAAATGCGGAAATATATACAATCTCAGCTTGGGCGCCTGACATCGCTTTCACACACAGCATCACGCTTCACTTCGCTTCACACACAAAACAAAACGCCGAAGACTTCAGCTGTATTTAAATTTCACGGCGATAAGACGAAGGCATTGTTCCAAATATGCAATATGAAACTGGCCCACCACGGTGGCTCAACAACTATGAAAAGTCACCTGAATGCTGTAAGTAGTAGCTTAGCTGTTGTCCAGTTGCCATAATGAAGCCGCTCTATACGCCGTTCAAACAGTAACGTTACACATGATGAGAACGTGCCGAATATTCGCTGCTGGCGGCCAAATGCGGCCCGCAGGCCATGTTTTATTGGCCCTCAACTAATTCAAAAAGTATATTGAAATATGACCCAGAAATGAGCCTTGTGCTTGTTTTATATTGTACTTCTTAAATATACATGTACATATATATTAAACAGCAGTGTTTCCCCTATATACAAATATGCGTGCCAGGTACCCAAACAAATAAATTGTTTTAACTTTTTTTTTTATTATTAAAATAATAATAAGTGTCAACCCTTTTTCATTTTTGATTGTTTGTTATGTGGATGTTTAGTCTTTGTGTTACTGTATGTTCAATAAAGCTGTATTTTTGCTAAATCTTGAGACATTGCCACTGTCTGCACTGGCAGGGCCGAACTAGGGAAAATAAGATATAAATGAACAACAAAAATAAAATAAGTTACATTTATTTCATATTGGCTATGGAAGGTTATTGGTTAACTTATTTGATTAAACCATTTTCATATGGGTGTTTAGAGTTGTACCCCCTAGATCTAGTCTCTAGTAATTCTGCTCAAAGTGCACCAGATTGAAGCATTTTACTTTAAAATGTTCAAACAAATCTTCCCGGGGGAGCATAACCCCCCCCCCCCCCCCCCCCCCCTAGAGGATGTGATGTCCACCCCCCAAATCAAACATGTTCATACAATACTGAATACATTTGAAGCCATTTTGACGTATATTACCTATGTCAATACGTTTCTGTTTTTGTAGTGTATTGTCTTTAGTAGAGATTTTTCATTTATTCTTTATATATAAAATCTCGCCTAGGGCAGCAAATTGGCTAGAACCGGCCCTGGTGCTAGAACTCAAGAGCCTTTCTTGTGCTGGCAGACACATAGAAACAAATTGGCGGGGCGCAATAACTTATTTACATAACAAGCTTCCTATTTCCTCTTATTATAAGCAATCTAAGGCTTCCATTTTAAGGAATGAACTGCCAACATAATACATGAAACCGTATGGAGAGCTGTGATTTAAGTGTCAAGCATACTTTACCTACATTTCATTGATTTTACCAACTTATAACTGAACTTATGAGGCGATAAACCTCTAGTGAGCGGCAGCCCTTCATATATTTTTCTGCATGTGGCCTTCGGAGAAATAAGTTTGGACCCCCCTTTGTGTTTACTCGAGTGACTCAAACTACTATCTCCATTTGCTTTAGATACCAATATGTAGTCAGCCACAGACAACATAAACACCACTGCTGCTTTGAGCACGCTGTGAACAGTGGGGGTAAAATCAAACGCGGTTCACAAGCTTTATTTATTGTCTTTAGAAAGTCGGCTAATGCAATCTTTCTTAGTACAATAGTACGAAACCACAATTTAACATTTCGATTTTTGATGGCAAAAACAGTATTAAAAGAATGCCGAAATACCTACTTAATGATACCTAATGATGCTTTGTCTGGTTCCTTTAGTCTGAATGTGTGTTTGATGCGTGATCATTATTCTTTAGAGTCATTGCGTGCCTATTGATTTGAGCACGATCCGTGTATCCATCATTTCCTGGTCTTCTCTAAAGAAGAGGGACCAATGGAAACGTTGTCATGTTGCCGTTGTTCAGCATGGAAACATTCATTAGCTAACAATGACATTATTGTTCTATTGATATAAAGGGAGGTCAGGTACTCTTTAAAGCAGCTGCTAGTTATGGGTACTTTTTACTGAAGTACATTTCAAAGCCTCTTTACTTTCACTTGAGTAAAGAAGTTTAGTCAGTACTTCTACCAGAGTATTTTTAAACATGAGTATGTGTACTTCTACTTGAGTAAAGGATGTGTGTACTTCTACTTGAGTAAAGGATGTGTGGACTTCTACCTGAGTAAAGGATGTGTGTACTTCTACTTGAGTAAAGGATGTGTGTACTTCTACTTGAGTGAAGGATGTGTGTACTTCTACTTGAGTGAAGGATGTGTGTACTCGTGCCTACCTGATAAACTCCAGCTGTGAAAGTAACTGTAGCTCCGACGGTGATAGCATAGCAGCTTCTGTCACAATCCATCCCAAAGCTGCTATTTCCCAGCAGGATGGAGCTGTCGTTGCTACTTAAGATGCTGTTTTCTGGGAGGTATCCTGCCAACGCTAACTCCCTATCAACGACTTGACCCACGAGCAAACACAGGACCCCGAAGATCCCCACCGAAATGTGTCTGGAAGTGCCTAAAAGTGCGTAGATGATGGAGGCGAAAAAGGACGTATAAAGACCATAAATGGGGTCCTGACTGGCCAATAGGGAGTAAGCTATGGACTGAGGGACCAATAGGATTCCTACAATAAGTCCAGACATGACGTCGCCCAGAATCCATTCTTTCAGCTGGTAGCGAGGCAGCCATTTTACAATCGGGACGAAACCCAGTATTTTGGATTTAGCTTTCTTTGGAGTGCACGAGCAGTTCTTTTTGAGCCGGTTTGACACGCCGGTTTGCCAGCTTTTGGGTTCTTCCTGGACTCTCTGGAGAATGAGAGGATGCTGCTGATCGCTCTCAGCTCCATCTTCTGCTGTAGGACAGAAGTCATCAGCATCTGTCATGATCGAGCCCTTATCTGAGGGATTTAAAGAAGAGAGATGTTCAGTTTAGCATTTTGTAGAAAGATAGCAGCTCAAGGGTTCCCTCCACAAAAAGCAATGGGATTTCCCAATAAGATTACTCTTTACTGCAGAAAATAAGCACATGTTTATGATGATAATCTCCACATATTAACACCACTTGTGATTTCAGGCTAATGTTGGGCTATAAAGGAACTACAGCACGGTCACATGACTTCACATCACCACCGCTAAGCTAAAGGCTGCTAATGTTGGGCTATAAAGGAACTACAGCACGGTCACATGACTTCACATCACCACCGCTAAGCTAAAGGCTGCTAATGTTGGGCTATAAAGGAACTACAGCACGGTCACATGACTTCACATCACCACCGCTAAGCTAAAGGTGGCTAATGTTGGGCATTAAAGGAACTACAGCACGGTCACATGACTTCAGGTCACCACCGCTAAGCTAAAGGAGGCTAATGTTGGGCTATAAAGGAACTACAGCACGGTCACATGACTTCACGTCACCACCGCTAAGCTAAAGGAGGCTAATGTTGGGCTATAAAGGAACTACAGCACGGTCACATGACTTCACGTCACCACCGCTAAGCTAAAGGTGGCTAATGTTGGGCTATAAAGGAACTACAGCACGGTCACATGACTTCACGTCACCACCGCTAAGCTAAAGGTGGCTAATGTTGGGCATTAAAGGAACTACAGCACGGTCACATGACTTCACATCACCACCGCTAAGCTAAAGGTGGCTAATGTTGGGCATTAAAGGAACTACAGCACGGTCACATGACTTCAGGTCACCACCGCTAAGCTAAAGGAGGCTAATGTTGGGCTATAAAGGAACTACAGCACGGTCACATGACTTCACGTCACCACCGCTAAGCTAAGGAGGCTAATGTTGGGCTATAAAGGAACTACAGCACGGTCACATGACTTCACGTCACCACCGCTAAGCTAAAGGTGGCTAATGTTGGGCTATAAAGGAACTACAGCACGGTCACATGACTTCACGTCACCACCGCTAAGCTAAAGGTGGCTAATGTTGGGCTATAAAGGAACTACAGCAAGGTCACCTGACTTCACGTCACCACCGCTAAGCTAAAGGCGGCTAATGTTGGGCTATAAAGGAACTACAGCACGGTCACATGACTTCACGTCACCACCGCTAAGCTAAAGGCGGCTAATGTTGGGCTATAAAGGAACTACAGCACGGTCGCATGACTTCACGTCACCACCGCTAAGCTAAAGGAGGCTAATGTTGGGCTATAAAGGAACTACAGCACGGTCACATGACTTCACGTCACCACTGCTAAGCTAAAGGAGGCTAATGTTGGGCTATAAAGGAACTACAGCACGGTCACATGACTTCACATCACCACCGCTAAGCTAAAGGCTGCTAATGTTGGGCTATAAAGGAACTACAGCACGGTCACATGACTTCACATCACCACCGCTAAGCTAAAGGTGGCTAATGTTGGGCATTAAAGGAACTACAGCACGGTCACATGACTTCACGTCACCACCGCTAAGCTAAAGGAGGCTAATGTTGGGCTATAAAGGAACTACAGCACGGTCACATGACTTCACGTCACCACCACTAAGCTAAAGGAGGCTAATGTTGGCCGTGACAGCGCTTAATCGTCTCATTTAGACATTTGTTAGCAACCGCAGTTTTTTAATTCACCAGTGGGGTATTTAATGACGTATTTTATGTCGTAGAACAAAACGTTCAAATATCTCTCTTAATTTCAGGCTTTTTAACCACAAACACACACAAAATACCATTGTCTTTCAGACAAGATAAGATAAGACTTTATTCATCCCGAAGGAAATTGTTGTGCCAGAGTAACAAAATACAATAAACACAATAAACACAGCATCAAAACTGTACACTAAAAGTGCAGCAAAAAGAGCAAACATCTACAGACAACATGAAACGTAGAAACATAGATGGTCACACAATCAATGCAATCATTATTAGCAGTATTTAGTAGTTAGTAGTGCAAAAATTCAAACGTAGTGGCAGTTACGTAATTACAGGTTATCATAGCATTATTAATAATACTTATAATATAATATTGCACATAGTTATATATATAGCAGCGAGTGTATTGCAATGATGTTAATTATATTGATATGTATATTGCACATAGTGTTGGTGTGGAAGTTCTCAGTGCCCAAGGGAACTGTTAGTGCTCAAAATGCTGAGTCTTTAACAGCAAATAGATCTATACATCTCTTAACATGTGCAATAAAACCAAGTATGACCCTACACATGCAGAGTGAGGTGGAAGGTGAGCAGATATCAGATGTCGGGTCATTGGGTGTCGGCATATTTCTGACATTTAGCTGAGGCAGAGAAATTCTCCTTCCTCTTGAAGTTGCATCACAATAGAGATATGACACTTTCCCTCATGCATACACTCCAGTTTACCCATTAATGTGACCCCTTACTAATAACTGATAATCACCAGCACTGATATCTTCCAAACCAAGGGCAACATTAACAACCCAGGAAATATGATAGGTGACTATATCTGTACAGCCTTGACAAACAGAGGTCAAAAGGCTTGAGATACTTGTGACTATTGTGAATTTAGCTTTGTTTTCAGCAGGTAAACAATTCTAGATAAAAAAAACAGGACCTATTTTGATTGAAAAGTATGTTTTAGAGTTGTTTCCTGCTGTTTAAACAACATTAAAAGGACAATATTAACATGTAAGTGTTGGAGAAAGTATTCAGGTCCTTTACTCTGAAGTACTCTTACCATGTGGTACAAATACTGCATTGAAAACTAAATGTAACCTAGTGAGTAAAAATGGAAAAATGTACTTAAAACAGAAAAGTTTATAAATAAAACACAAAATAAATAATGTAAATTAAAAAATATAAAAAGATATATTGACAAAATTAAAAAAACACCCAAAAATATGTTCTAAATCAGGGGTGTCAAACTCAAGGCCCGGGGACCAAATCCAGCACGCGACTTCATTTTATGTGGCCCTCAAGAGCTTTCAAAGAATATAATACGGTTACATGCTACTTTACACTATATCTATTAGGGGTGTAACGGTATACGTATTCGTACCGAAATTATTCGGTATGGGCCGTTCGGGCACACGTGTGTACCGAACGAATATAACGCTAAACGTAAAAAATTGAAAACGTGAACAACTTCTTGGAAGCAATCTCAGGTGCTGCGTCGCAGCATTCAGAGTAATTTGCTCACATTGGGTTCAACGCGTCATAGAGCGAGCAAGTCATTTCATTGGACGAGAGGCATACTATGAGAGCTGGTCAGAGGGATGCATTCAAATGTAGTCAGTAATTTGAGGAACTAGCGAAATGGCGAACGCAGATAAAGTTGAGCGATCCGAACTCGCGACAGGGGAAGCAAACACAGACATCACAACACGTACCTTTACGGAGCTTCTAGGGGAGATCGTCTCACCGTAGCTGTTAATCTGATCAAAAGACGTGTTCAATGGCATTAAAACGAGAGAAAAAAGCGGCTGAATCGGTTAGTCCATAGGGTTTTAACGTCTCTGTATAAAAAAAATTATTTCATTTATAATCCATAATTCCATTTTTATGTAAAAATCGCAGAGCAAAAGTTAGCTGCTAATGGTAGCCACCAGAGTGGCTGCTGCTTGGTCTTGGCTATGCGGCAGTCTAATACACACACATTACCAAATAAGGAGTATGTGGGAGTTCCCCTCGATTCCATTGGCTCTAACGGTCAAAGAGATATCACATGTCAAAATCGAAGAAGGGGGGCCAGAGATATGGAAAATCCACCCAAATGGCCCCAGAAGAGGGTTTTTTTGCTAAATCTGTCTAAAAAGGTCAAATATCACTTGTTTTGCATCAATCTTGATACAGGGTACTTATTATATGTTGTACTTTGGATTCCTAAAGCTTTTAGTCTACTAACCCATCATCCAAGGTTAGTTTTCACTATAAGTACAACATATCTTATGGACGGACACTATAATTTACAGTTTTTTTACCATGTTCAATCTGAATTTTCTTTAAAATAAAAAACATCTATATTGATTCTGACTTTTCTACATCCAACTCACAGGTTTATCATTGCTTTGAGAAAAAAGATTATTAATTTAACCCTTTTAGAAGGGAAGATATGGTCATTTGTTCTGGGAATGTCATTTTCGAGCCTGAAACCTGAAAAACAGGCTCGGGGTTTAACAGGAACAAACAAATCATACTTTTTAATGGAAAAATCTGAATTATTACCTAAGCTTTGCAGCTGGGTAGAAGTATAAGTAACGTTCCTCTAATGTGCAGTACTACTACTCTACTCATTAAACCACTTCTACTTTTACTCAAGTACAAGATCTGAGTACTTCTACTTTTACTCAAGTACAAGATCTGAGTACTTCTACTTTTACTCAAGTACAAGATCTGAGTACTTCTACTTTTACTCAAGTACAAGATCTGAGTACTTCTACTTTTACTCAAGTACAATATCTGAGTACTTCTACTTTTACTCAAGTACAAGATCTGAGTACTTCTACTTTTACTCAAGTACAATATCTGAGTATTTCGACTTTTACTCAAGTACAAGATCTGAGTACTTCTACTTTTACTCAAGTACATGATCAGAGTACTTCTACTTTTACTCAAGTACAAGATCTGAGTACTTCTACTTTTATTAAAGTAGCCTACAATATCTGAGTACTTCTACTTTTACTCAAGTACAAGATCTGAGTACTTCTACTTTTACTCAAGTACATGATCTGAGTACTTCTACTTTTACTCAAGTACATGATCTGAGTACTTCTACTTTTACTCAAGTACATGATCTGAGTACTTCTACTTTTACTCAAGTACAAGATCTGAGTATTTCGACTTTTACTCAAGTACAAGATCTGAGTATTTCGACTTTTACTTAAGAACAAGACCTGAGTACTTCTACTTTTATTAAAGTAGCCTACAAGATCTGAGTACTTCTACTTTTACTCAAGTACATGATCTGAGTACTTCTACTTTTACTCAAGTACAAGATCTGAGTATTCCGACTTTTAATCAAGTTCAAGATGAGAGTACTTTTACTCAAGATAAGAACAATATCTGAATACTTCTATTTTTACTCAGGTACACGATCTGAGTATTTCTACTTTTACTAAAGTAGCCTACAAGATCTGAATACTTCTACTCAAGTACAAGATCTGAGTACTTCTACTTTTAGTCAAGTACAAGATGAGAGTACTTCTTCACCTCTGAAAACAGGAACCGCTGCTGAGAAGACACGTGGCACTTTCTCAAAATAATAACGTTAATAGGATTACAGTGACGTTAGGACTAGTAGTGTGTAGTTCATGGGATTACTGAGTATACAGGGTATTTAAATGCAGCTGTATTAGGGAAGCGTATATGCAAAAGTCAGAGATGTCAAGTGTTTACTAACTAGTTACAACTTGGCTGTTATAGTAGTTACTTTGTCAAATATATCTATAAATCGCCGGTTGTTTCCGATGTGTCCTTATGAATGAATGGACACCTTTGTAAACAAGTTTTCAACGTGGACACCGGTCCGAAACCAGAGCCAACCAAAGTGAATTTAACATGACATTCTGCTCGTTTTCTAAAAACAATAACAGTAACTATTTAAATGTGTTGGTGTGTGAAGTTACTGACCTGAGCTCCAGTCAGTGAGCGGTGGTTTAAGAGGTCGTGATCAGGTTCAGGTCAGGGATGTCTTCTCACAGCCGAGAATCATTCCGCCTCAAATTCATTTTACACCGGAGCGCCGTGCGTCATGACGTCATGGAACCTCACGTGACCCACTGAGTCAGAGATGGTCTATTTGAGAAGATGCTTCCATTTGAAGCAAAAACATAATATTTAAAATACATTGAATATTAACATAATTATAATAACAGGTAATAAATACCAAGTAACACATAACTTTGTGATGAATAAAAACACTTAGAACCAACAGAGGTCAATCAACAAGTACAAGCTGAATTAAAAAGGTGGATCTTGAATTAGCCAACAAATAATACAATATAAAATAAATACAAAATAATAATTATAATAATAATAATGAAAGGTATTAAATACGAACTAACACATACATTTGATATTGGTGAAGACACTTAAAACCAGTCAATAAACACAGGACTCAAGCACTAAAACAATCATTACAAATAAATTAAATACAAATTAAATAAGATAAACACATACAAAGTACAATAAGACAAATACAATAATACAATAATTATAATTATAATAATAGCAATAATATAAGGAAATCAATACCAAGTAAAACATACATTTGTGAAACACACTTAAAACAAAACACAGGACTGAATAAAACATTTAAAAAATACAAATACATTACAATATAAAATTAGAATTAAAAAAATGACAGATTAAAATAAGAATGAAAAAAGAATACAATTATAATAAATACAATAAAATTACAAACCACATTTAAAAGGGTGAGTCTTGAGTCTCTGAACTGTCATTCAATACGTAGCTGTCCTCCCATTTCCATCTGAAGCTCCAATTACTCATAAAACTCCTCTTACAGTCGGTGTCGCGGTTTCCAGGCTTAGTGAGCGCTCCTCCTGCGTCTCCCCTCTCTGAACACGCCCTCTCTGATTGACACCTTGCAAGTTAAACCAGCTGCTCAACACTGAGGGGTTTGTTTTAGTGCTTCCCAGCTGCTGGGACTTCTGGTCTTGCTGTGTGTTATTCTGCCTCTCAGATTCCTGCAGGAGTTGTACATCACAGCAGGATCCATGATCTGAGCTGTTAGAGAAACAAAAAGTGTGTAACACATGACATCACAACACTAGTAGAAAGTACAGGTATTTGTATTCAACATGTGAGAAGTAGAAAGTACAGGTATTTGAGTTCAACATGTGAGAAGTAGAAAGTACAGGTATTTGTGTTCAACATGTAAGAAGTAGAAAGTACAGGTATTTGTGTTCAACATGTGAGAAGTAGAAAGTACAGGTATTTTGAGTTCAACATGTAAGAAGTAGAAAGTACAGGTATTTGGGTTCAACATGTAAGAAGTAGAAAGTACAGGTATTTGTGTTCAACATGTGAGAAGTAGAAAGTACAGGTATTTGTGTTCAACATGTGAGAAGTAGAAAGTACAGGTATTTGTGTTTCAACATGTAGAAGTAGAAAGTACAGGTATTTGTGGTTCAACATGTAAGAAGTAGAAAGTACAGGTATTTGGGTTCAACATGTAAGAAGTAGAAAGTACAGGTATTTGTGTTCAACATGTAAGAAGTAGAAAGTACAGGTATTTGAGTTCAACATGTAAGAAGTAGAAAGTACAGGTATTTGTGTTCAACATGTGAGAAGTAGAAAGTACAGGTATTTGAGTTCAACATGTAAGAAGTAGAAAGTACAGGTTATTTGAGTTCAACATGTAAGAAGTAGAAAGTACAGGTATTTGAGTTCAACATGTGAGAAGTAGAAAGTACAGGTATTTGAGTTCAACATGTAAGAAGTAGAAAAGTACAGGTATTTGGGTTCAACATGTAAGAAGTAGAAAGTACAGGTATTTGTGTTCAACATGTGAGAAGCAGAAAGTACAGGTATTTGTGTTCAACATATAAGAAGTAGAAAGTACAGGTATTTGAGTTCAACATGTAAGAAGTAGAAAGTACAGGTATTTGAGTTCAACATGTAAGAAGTAGAAAGTACAGGTATTTGAGTTCAACATGTAAGAAGTAGAAAGTACAGGTATTTGAGTTCAACATGTAAGAAGTAGAAGGTACAGGTATTTGAGTTCAACATGTAAGAAGTAGAAAGTACAGGTATTTGAGTTCAACATGTGAGAAGTAGAAAGTACAGGTATTTGAGTTCAACATGTAAGAAGTAGAAAGTACAGGTATTTGAGTTCAACATGTGAGAAGTAGAAAGTACAGGTATTTGTGTTCAACATGTAAGAAGTAGAAAGTACAGGTATTTGGGTTCAACATGTGAGAAGCAGAAAGTACAGGTATTTGTGTTCAACATATAAGAAGTAGAAAGTACAGGTATTTGTGTTCAACATGTAAGAAGTAGAAAGTACAGGTATTTGTGTTCAACATGTGAGAAGCAGAAAGTACAGGTATTTGAGTTCAACATGTAAGAAGTAGAAAGTACAGGTATTTGAGTTCAACATGTAAGAAGTAGAAAGTACAGGTATTTGAGTTCAACATGTGAGAAGTAGAAAGTACAGGTATTTGAGTTCAACATGTAAGAAGTAGAAAGTACAGGTATTTGAGTTCAACATGTAAGAAGTAGAAAGTACAGGTATTTGAGTTCAACATGTAAGAAGTAGAAAGTACAGGTATTTGAGTTCAACATGTGAGAAGTAGAAAGTACAGGTATTTGAGTTCAACATGTAAGAAGTAGAAAGTACAGGTATTTGAGTTCAACATGTAAGAAGTAGAAAGTACAGGTATTTGTGTTCAACATGTGAGAAGCAGAAAGTACAGGTATTTGTGTTCAACATGTGAGAAGCAGAAAGTACAGGTATTTGAGTTCAACATGTAAGAAGTAGAAAGTACAGGTATTTGTGTTCAACATGTGAGAAGCAGAAAGTACAGGTATTTGTGTTCAACATGTGAGAAGCAGAAAGTACAGGTATTTGTGTTCAACATGTGAGAAGCAGAAAGTACAGGTATTTGTGTTCAACATGTGAGAAGCAGAAAGTACAGGTATTTGAGTTCAACATGTGAGAAGTAGAAAGTACAGGTATTTGAGTTCAACATGTGAGAAGTAGAAAGTACAGGTATTTGTGTTCAACATGTGAGAAGCAGAAAGTACAGGTATTTGTATTCAACATGTAAGAAGTAGAAAGTACAGGTATTTGGGTTCAACATGTAAGAAGTAGAAAGTACAGGTATTTGTATTCAACATGTAAGAAGTAGAAAGTACAGGTATTTGTGTTCAACATGTAAGAAGTAGAAAGTACAGGTATTTGTGTTCAACATGTAAGAAGTAGAAAGTAAAGGTATTTGAGTTCAACATGTAAGAAGTAGAAAGTACAGGTATTTGTATTCAACATGTAAGAAGTAGAAAGTACAGGTATTTGGGTTCAACATGTAAGAAGTAGAAAGTACAGGTATTTGTATTCAACATGTAAGAAGTAGAAAGTACAGGTATTTGTGTTCAACATGTAAGAAGTAGAAAGTACAGGTATTTGAGTTCAACATGTCAGAAGTAGAAAGTACAGGTATTTGAGTTCAACATGTAAGAAGTAGAAAGTACAGGTATTTGAGTTCAACATGTGAGAAGTAGAAAGTACAGGTATTTGTGTTCAACATGTAAGAAGTAGAAAGTACAGGTATTTGTATTCAACATGTAAGAAGTAGAAAGTACAGGTATTTGTGTTCAACATGTAAGAAGTAGAAAGTACAGGTATTTGAGTTCAACATGTCAGAAGTAGAAAGTACAGGTATTTGAGTTCAACATGTAAGAAGTAGAAAGTACAGGTATTTGAGTTCAACATGTGAGAAGTAGAAAGTACAGGTATTTGTGTTCAACATGTAAGAAGTAGAAAGTACAGGTATTTGTGTTCAACATGTAAGAAGTAGAAAGTACAGGTATTTGAGTTAAACATGTAAGAAGTAGAAAGTACAGGTATTTGAGTTCAACATGTAAGAAGTAGAAAGTACAGGTATTTGAGTTAAACATGTGAGAAGTAGAAAGTTCAGGTATTTGTGTTCAACATGTAAGAAGTAGAAAGTACAGGTATTTGAGTTCAACATGTAAGAAGTAGAAAGTACAGGTATTTGAGTTAAACATGTGAGAAGTAGAAAGTTCAGGTATTTGAGTTCAACATGTAAGAAGTAGAAAGTACAGGTATTTGGGTTCAACATGTAAGAAGTAGAAAGTTCAGGTATTTGTGTTCAAAATTTAAGAATTCAAAGTAAAAAGTCGTCAGAAAAATAAGTAGTGGAGTAAAGTACTGATACCAGAAACATGTACTTAAGTACAGTAACAAAGTATTCCAAAACTTCCACCTCTGTCGGTTAGTAGCTACTGATTTATTAAAATATTTAGCACGTTTATGTGAAAGGCTTTAATCTATGTTGCAAATGGCCTCCCTCATTTGAACACATTATCTTAATGGGTGAAAATATCCAAAGCTCTAAACTCCACCGTAATCTGTCTCGTTTATCTGACTGTCTGCAGCTGTGGTGGAAATTAGAATCTGAGATGAAAGCCTATTGACCTTTTCATATCAGAAATGTCATCCTCAGAAGTCACAGAAAATGAAGTAATCTGTCTCCAGACTCTTTGCCAGCAATTTTTCAAATGTCAAAACTTTTTATTGATTTCTTTCCCTTTCTTCTCCAGGTTTCAAACTTTAAGAGAAGAGTGTTGCAGGAATGGGTCCTACAACAAAGTATTGTGTCGTCATTTTACCACTTCCTGTCCCCTGGTCTGGAAGTCAATGGTTTTCTGAATGTGTTTTTGGTTGTTAGCCTGAAATAAGGTCTGTGGTTAACACAAGCTGAAGAGATTTTAATTCTAGGACATAAAATACATCAGTAAACATTTTAAAGATTGCTAACGAGTGTCTAAATGAGCTGACTAAACATCATCACGCCCAACATTAGCCTCCTTTAGCTTAGCGGTGGTGACGTGAAGTCATGTGACCGTGCTGTAGTTCCTTTATAGCCCAACATTAGCCACCTTTAGCTTAGCGGTGGTGACGTGAAGTCATGTGACCGTGCTGTAGTTCCTTTATAGCCCAACATTAGCCACCTTTAGCTTAGCGGTGGTGACGTGAAGTCATGTGACCGTGCTGTAGTTCCTTTATAGCCCAACATTAGCCTCCTTTAGCTTAGCAGTGGTGACGTGAAGTCATGAGACCGTGCTGTAGTTCCTTTCTAGCCCAACATTAGCCGCCTTTAGCTTAGCGGTGATGACGTGAAGTCATGTGACCGTGCTGTAGTTCCTTTATAGCCCAACATTAGCCACCTTTAGCTTAGCGGCGGTGACGTGAAGTCATGTGACCGTGCTGTAGTTCCTTTATTACATTACATGTCACTTGTTAGACGCTTTAATCCAAAGCGACTTACATACTCAATACCGTGGGCAATCCCCACAGGAGCAATTTGGGGTGAAGTGTCTCAGGGACACAACGACATGCTGACTGCAGTGGGACTCGAACTTGCTATCGGCTGATTCGAAGATCAGCGCATTAATCCACTGCGCCACACGTCTCCCTTTATAGCCCAACATTAGCCACCTTTAGCTTAGCGGTGGTGACGTGAAGTCATGTGACCGTGCTGTAGTTCCTTTATAGCCCAACATTAGCCTCCTTTAGCTTAGCGGTGGTGACGTGAAGTCATGTGACCGTGCTGTAGTTCCTTTATAGCCCAACATTAGCCACATTTAGCTTAGTGGTGGTGACGTGAAGTCATGTGACCGTGCTGTAGTTCCTTTATAGCCCAACATTAGCCACCTTTAGCTTAGCGGTGGTGACGTGAAGTCATGTGACCGTGCTGTAGTTCCTTTATAGCCCAACATTAGCCACATTTAGCTTAGTGGTGGTGACGTGAAGTCATGTGACCGTGCTGTAGTTCCTTTATAGCCCAACATTAGCCACCTTTAGCTTAGCGGCGGTGACGTGAAGTCATGTGACCGTGCTGTAGTTCCTTTATTACATTACATGTCACTTGTTAGACGCTTTTATCCAAAGCGACTTACATACTCAATACCGTGGGCAATCCCCACAGGAGCAATTTGGGGTGAAGTGTCTCAGGGACACAACGACATGCTGACTGCAGTGGGACTCGAACTTGCTATCGGCTGATTCGAAGATCAGCGCATTAATCCACTGCGCCACACGTCTCCCTTTATAGCCCAACATTAGCCACCTTTAGCTTAGCGGTGGTGACGTGAAGTCATGTGACCGTGCTGTAGTTCCTTTATAGCCCAACATTAGCCTCCTTTAGCTTAGCGGTGGTGACGTGAAGTCATGTGACCGTGCTGTAGTTCCTTTATAGCCCAACATTAGCCACATTTAGCTTAGTGGTGGTGACGTGAAGTCATGTGACCGTGCTGTAGTTCCTTTATAGCCCAACATTAGCCACCTTTAGCTTAGCGGTGGTGACGTGAAGTCATGTGACCGTGCTGTAGTTCCTTTATAGCCCAACATTATATTTTACTTTCCATTAATACTCATTTTTAAGACACTGAACGAGAACCCAGGCAGAGAAATGAACCCTGTGTGGTTTCATTAATCACTGGGAGGTTGATGATAATCCCAGAGTTGTAATTGTATGCAGGATTACAGTATGTCCTCACATTTAAAGCATCCTGATAATCCGTTTGTTTTCCAACACCTGCACATTCAGTGATCAGGGCAGAGGGATTAGATACTGCTGCACACAACACGAGAACAGGTAGGCTACATCTTTATTGTATTATATTTTTTTGACAATATATTCATCGTGTTATCATTACTTTATTGATGAATTTATTTGTGAAGTACAATATACAGCGACAAAAAGGGACAGATGATACGGGAAAGTTGAAATGAACTAAAACTTGTCCTGTTGTGATAACATAATATACCGTACTAGCATGATTACCTATTGCCAGGAATACATTTACCAAAACAGTAAGGGATGATTTAAGGGGTAAAGATATCCTTAACGCCAATGCCTGTAAATAAGGTTGAAATTGAACAGCCAATATGATAAGGAAAGGGGCAGTTAGTAGCATATCCTGACTAACCGAAATTAACTCCTTTTAATCTCATTGTACAGGGATAACGCAAATACAAAAACAATTGTTTCAGTGCATATCCACATATCAATACAAAAAGAAAAATGCATATATACACACACATGCAATTCAAATATGCATCTCTGAATTGATCACTTAATAAATTACCTATTTATAACTATACTAAATATGTGTTGATGATGACTCGTAGTGCAGTTGCAGTTTGTCTCGTGTTAGTGCTGGGTCAGGGTTTTGACTCTTGGACTAAAAACTGTCGAATGAAAAAATAGCTTTTCCCAATAAGATGATTCCCACTTAAAATATTCCATCAAAGCAGAATGGGGTGAAAGGTCCTGGCTGCAGATCTGTTTTAGTTGAAATGCCCAGTAGCAGTTCTTGACTAATTGCTGAATGATGAAGGTTTTCTCCGTTAACTTTGAAAGATGTTTCCCCCTTCTGATTCAGTCGGCAGGCATCATGTTGTGATTGGTCAACCAGCTTAGAGATGTCCCGCCCCTTAGCCTAACGCGTACAATGTGTTGGAGCGCTAGCCAACAGTGTTGGGACTAACACGTTACAGTAACGCGTTACTGTAACGCCGTTATTGTTGTCAGTAACTAGTACTCTAACGCATTACTGTTTAAATTCAGTAACTCAGTTACCGTTACTACATGGTGCGTTACTCCGTTACTCCGTTAGTTTTTTTATATAGTCAACAGCCAGGCGAACAGAGATGAGAACTGTACTTAAGTACTTGAGTAAATGTACTTAGATACTTCCTGTGTCACATGCGGAGACGGGCTGTGGGCGTGTTTGTGTTGTTTACTAACAAGACTATCATGGCGGCGGCGGAGCTCAAGTCTAGTTTCTCCACCTGGAGATATTCTCACTATTTCACTTTTGTCGAGCACAAAGAAAAGAACGTTTCTGTTAAATGTAAGTTGTGTCCTGGCGGGTCAAAGATCCTATCTACTGCCCAAACCAGTCATTAAAATCTCTTAAAACATCTGCAAAAACAACATGCTGGGACGAAGCTAGTAGCTAAGACCACAGAGACTCAGCCGACGCCACTCCACCTCCACCTAAGCAACAGCGGCTGGATTTTAACCAAGGGACTGCTAGCCAGGGAAAAGTGGATAAAGCCATTGCACGGTATGTTGTAGAACACATGCAGGCTATTGCTACAGTGGAGTCACCCGCTTTCAGGGAGCTAGTTAGCATGATAGCATGTCCGGGCGGCACACGGCATATGGGACGGAACACTTTTTCCAACTACCTGGAGAAAGAATATACAAAAATGGAAAGCCAGCTAATATCGATGCAATCCAGATTGCATATAATGCATGTCAAGTTGATCAACAGATTGTATTATTCTCCAATGCAATAACAGTACTGAAATGAAGGCTATCCTTATAGCCTTCATTTCAGTACTGTTATTGCATTGGAGAATAATACCTGGGAGCCCTTTTTGTAAGTAACTAAAACGTTACTTGTACAGTAACGCATTACTTTTGGGTTTAAGTAACTAGTAAAGTATCTGAGTTACTTTTGAAATGAAGTAACTAGTAATGTAACTAGTTACTGGTTTTCAGTAACTAGCACAACACTGCTAGCCAATAGGAGCGTGAGTGTTCCATAGTGATGTCACAGCTAAATAGGGTGATAGGATTTTGCTCCTTGCTGACCAAATGTTGACTTTAGAAGGTTTTTTGATAATTCTGTTTCCATCTTTTGTATCATTCTGGAGCGCTAGCCAATAGGAGCGGGAGTGTTACATAGTGATGTCATCATGTTCCGGAACGTTGTGATTTTAGCCCTTTGCAGACAGAGGCGCGGGAAGGTATTTTGAGTGGGGGTGCTGAGGTGCTGGACTCCAGTGAACACTATTACGGGCACTATAGAGCACGCACAAAAGCACTCCCCACACGCAACACACAGTGCACCCGCGACTGTTACAACGAAGGCTCGATAATCAGCTCACGGCATATAGGCAGGGGTAAAGTGCTATTTTTCAGGAGTGGGGAGCGGACCTAACCTCCTTTAGGGGGGTCCTCACCTCCTCTAGGTCCTCACCTCCTCTAGGGGGGTCCTCACCTCCTCTAGGTCCTCACCTCCTCTAGGGGGGTCCTCACCTCCTCTAGGTCCTCACCTCCTCTAGGGGGGTCCTCACCTCCTCTAGGTCCTCACCTCCTCTAGGGGGGTCCTCACCTCCTCTAGGTCCTCACCTCCTCTAGGGGGGTCCTCACCTCCTCTAGGTCCTCACCTCCTTTAGGGGGGTCCTCACCTCCTCTAGGTCCTCACCTCCTCTAGGGGGGTCCTCACCTCCTCTAGGTCCTCACCTCCTCTAGGTCCTCACCTCCTCTAGGGGGGTCCTCACCTCCTCTAGGTCCTCACCTCCTCTAGGGGGGTCCTCACCTCCTCTAGGTCCTCACCTCCTCTAGGTCCTCACCTCCTCTAGGTCCTCACCTCCTCTAGGTCCTCACCTCCTCTAGGGGGGTCCTCACCTCCTCTAGGTCCTCACCTCCTCTAGGGGGGGTCCTCACCTCCTCTAGGTCCTCACCTCCTCTAGGGGGGTCCTCACCTCCTCTAGGTCCTCACCTCCTCTAGGGGGGTCCGGATTTTTTTTAAATATTGAAGTTGAAAGCATCAATGCACTTTGAGAGCAACATGAAGAGATCTATGGATACATCTCTCAACACCAGATGAAACACAACTGTAAACAGATTTACTTTTTCTTTATGGATATTTTACAAATCACTCTCCTTTCAAACTCTATTCTTGTTTTACTGCCATATAGTATTTCATACCTGCTTTTCCTTTATTCTCTTATGTGTTTTATAACTATAATGATCATATGAAGGTGTGCCGCGGAAATAATCTTTTGAATAATTTGTGACCAAACCGTTTGAGACCCACTGAGATAACTTAGACTAAAGTGAACTATCTAAACACTCAGAGAGTCCTTTAGCTCACTGAGCCTCTCAGTCTGAGAGGAGAGCTCTCCTCAGACTGAGAGGAGAGCTCTCCTCTCAGTCTGAGAGGAGAGCTCTAGGAGAGGAGAGCTCTCCTCCAGCTTGTTGTGGAACCAACAGCTCCGTATGTCCGTTAGTGCAGCTAGCTAACCAGATGCTAACAACACGGTCCCTGCTGCTAGCACACCTCTCTCTCTCTCTCTCTCTCTCTCTCTCTCTCTCTCTCTCTCTCTCTCTCTCTCTCTCTCTCTCTCTCTCTCTCTCTCTCTCTCTCTCTCTCTCTCTCTCTCTCTCGCTCTCTCTCTCGCTCTCTCACACACACACACACACAGAGCCGAGCTTGAATGACACAAGCACACTTTAACTTCCATGCAACTCTCTGATTGGTCTGGTGTCTTGCCTCTGTTGCATTCACTGGAAAATGACAGTCCTGCCGTCCTCTCTAGTGTCTTGATGAGGTTCACGTAAAGCACGGTTAATGTATTATATTATTGAGGGAGAATTGTCCGGGCTACAGAATTGTAGCCAACAATGTGGAATGTATTGGCTACATATTACACAGATTATGCACAGCAGGAGCAGCAATAACCGTCAAATAATAATTCAGACAGGGGAGCTCCGCACCCCCTGCCCACCGCTAGGGGGTGCTGCAGCACCCTCAGCACCCCCCTTCCCACGCCCATGTTTGCAGACAATTTACATGCACTAATACCTATACAACTAGAGGAGAGGGAAAACCTTGAAGAAGCAAAATACGGTGAAAGGATTTTGATTGTTCTTGACCAAATGAATGAAGGTGAAGGTTTTTTGGGCATTATTTTTCCCTCTTTTGTTTCACTCTGTGTTAAAAACATATCCCTGGTCCCCGGCTTGAGCTTCACCTCAGGATCCATGTATCTGTGATCCTCTCCAGAATGGAAGGAGTCGTCACATACAGAGCATCAGCTAGTTCCTGAACAGTGTCCTTCACATGCTGATATCCAAGAGAGGGAGTTACACAGTCACAAGATGGAGGAATAGAAAGCAGTATTCAATGTTTACTTCAGATTAGCTCCACGTCAGAAATGAGCATGCTTGATGTCTCTCTCCATAGAGGCTGAATCCTCATGTTGATCACATAGCTATCATATGCCTCAAACAGTCCTGATGCTCTTCTAGGTAATCATACATCCTGTCATGTTCACAGCTACAGTTGGGATAGCTTTGTTATCATGTTACTCTCATGTTGGAAGAGGACGTTCAGTAGTTTCTCTCATTTTGCCCCCCCTGTCAGCATCATGGTGGACGCAGCGGCAGCAGAGCTCTTCCTGGACGATAACCCAGAGTTTGCTAAGAGTTACTACGACCTGAACTTCAGACCGCAGCTGATCTCAGACCTGCTGGACGGCAGCCGGCGGATGCAGGTGGACGTCAGCCGGTTCCACGACCTCACCACTGTGGAAGAGAGCGAGGTTCTGTTCGATCTGATGCGAGACATCCAGGACAATCTGCAGATGGAGAGGTCCATGTTCAACCTGATGAAACACCTGAGCTTCATGCTGAGGGCCGACCGCATGAGCCTCTTCATGTACAGGCAGAGGAACGGAGTCGCAGAGCTGGCCACCAGGTGACACATTTCTCTGTTTCCTGTATCACAAGCAGGATGTGGTCATTGAAAATCAGGGGTGGCACACTCATGCTAAACGAACCCCCCTTTGGAACATTTGATGGATTTCATTTCATGTGGCCAGCAAGAGCTTGCAAAGAATATAATACGTTTATTATACGGTTACTTGCTTTACAAATCAAAATCAAATCAAGTTTGATTTATAGAGCACATTTATAAACGATTTTTGGTCCAGCCAAAGTGCTGTACATATAATACAAATAGCCTACAGTAGAGACACTTTACAACAGCACAGATTACAGAAGCACGTTGCCCATAAACTACATGTCCCACAATGCATCTCATTTTGTGACATGCGCACTGAAGAGACTTGAAATGATTTGCCTCAGACTTCTGCTTTCAGACGTAATTAATGATGAAGTTATTACCCTATCGCATAATAATCCAATGCAGAGGCAATAATGTAATATAATACATTATTTTATATATATTATATATTTACATATGTATATTTATTTAGTCGTAAAGTTACAACCGGCCCTTTGAGTAAAACGTAATGCTAATGTGGCCGCCATGAAATTGAGTTTGACACCCCTGCTGTAAATGCATTTGTGGCAAACACCGTGAAAACCAAAAAGGGAATGGCACCCTATTATAAAAAGATTATTTTACAATGTATTACAGCTTTGAAATCCTGCTACTAAACCACTTGTTTTTAGGAATGTACCAGTAGTCTGACTACTTGTTTTTAATGTAACTAAGGGAATACAGTCACCTTGTTTTGGTATCCGTTCACGTTATTCCCATTGCTTTAGTTGCACATTATAACTGACGGTGTTTTTGTTTACCTGCAGGTTGTTTAGCGTGACCAAGGACTCGTTGTTTGAGGAGTGTCTGATTCCTCCGGACAGTGAGATCGTTTATCCTCTGGATCTGGGGGTCGTCGGACACGTGGCGTCGACCAAGAAGATGGTGAACATCGCCGATGTATCCGAGGTAAACACACACAAACAAAGTAGTCCACTGTGCTTTCTGATGGATGAAAACTAATGTGTGTTGTCCACAGCCGACGTTAACTTCTTTCTGTGGATTGATATGTCCAAATTGACAAATCCGCATCGAGTATTCAACTAAACCGTCCGTTACCTGCATCTCAACAAAATAAAACCTTGATCTTCATTAAGATAGATAGACTTCTTCCTGCGGATTGATATGACTGCACATAGTCCCTTGATCAAAAGCGTTCTCCTTAGCAACGGTCGGTTCTTCTTAGCAACGGTATGTTATCCTTAGCAACGGGGTTCTTCTTAGCAACGGTATGTTATCCTTAGCAACGGTCTGTTCTTCTTAGCAACGGTTTCTTCTCCTCAGCAAGGGTCTGTTAAGTTTTAACTAGGTTTTGTATTAGATATAGATTATAGAGTTCATGATTGACCACTTAAGATTTACAAATGAAACAGGTGAACTTAAACTATATGACTGTAAAAATATGACTGTAAATATACTTTAGTATTTAAATCATATGATTTTACAATTGAGGCAAACATGTTTTAGTGGACATTTTCTAAAATGTTACTTCACTAAAAAGGTTCGATTTGTGTGACTATGTGTAATATGCTGAACCAGAAGGATTTCACCTAAAAGCCATTTGATTTAAAACAAAAATACGTCATGCTACTGTGAGTATTTGTTGTGATTTACAGACCATATATTTTGGAGTAAAATAAGACTTTCTTCTCCCTGACCTTTTCCATCATAAGCTTTATAAACTGCATTAATGTTTAGTGAATTGTTTCATATTCATTGTGAGGAATATAATAGATGATATCCTGCTTATATTGTGTTAACAGAAAATTGGCCCTTCAACCGGGTTTTTATTTGTCAGACAGTTCATATATGTTTTTGTCATCTGTACAGTATATTTTTCTTATTCTCTAATACTAGTTTATTTCTATTTTGAGATGTTTATATTTCATAATAGTTTATTTCTACTCTTTTAATTTGTTATTATGTGCAATTTCGTGTTTTGTTTTCTGCTGCTGCAACCATTTTTTTCTCGCAAATTGGGATTAATAAAGTAATAATAATAGCTTGGATTTATATAGCGCATGGGACCCAAGGTCGCAGGTTCCGGGGTGGGGCATGTGGGCGGAGGAGGTCCGATAAGTACCGGGGGGCATGGGCATGGAGGGACTTGTAGGTGAGGAGGAGGACTTTGAATGATATGTGGGACATGACCGGCAGCCAGTGGAGGTGGATGAGGGTGGGGGTGATGTGCTGCCACGGCTTTGTGTGCGTGAGGACCCTAGCAGCACAGTTTTGAACATACTGGAGCCTGTCCAGGGTTTTCTTTGGCACCCCAAACAGGACACCATGGCAGTGGTCCAAGCGGGAGGTGACGAAAGCATGGACTAGGGAGTTGGAGTCTGGCAATGTTCTTTAGATGGAAAAAGGCGGATTTGGTCACAGACTTGATGTGGGAATGGAAGGAAAGGGTGGAGTCAAAGATGACACCCAGGAGATGGGGAGATGGAGCAGCCGTCAACCTCAAGGATGAAGTCACCAACCTTCCGGAGCAGCGCTTTTGGTGACACAACCATGAGCTCTGTTTTCCTGCTGTTGAGTTTGAGAAAATTGGACGACACCCAGGTTTTTATGTCGTGCAGGCAGTTGACGAGAGACTGAGGGGGGAGCTGGGAGGATGGAGTAGTGCTGAGATACAGTTGGGTATCATCAGCGTAGCAGTGGAAGTTGAGTCCATGATGGCGGATGATCTGGCCGAGGGGGGGCATGTAAATGGTGAACAGGAGGGGGCCAAGCACAGAGCCCTGGGGTACACCGTGATTGACTGGGGCCGGGGGGGAATTTGAGCCATTAATGGTTGCAAACTGTTCCCTGTTATGGAGGTAGGATGTGAACCAGGACAGGGCTGTGCCAGTGACCTAGGAGGTCAGATAAGCGGGTGAGGAGGATGGTGTAAGAGATGGTGTCAAATGCTGCAGAGAGGTCCAGGAGCATGAGGATGCTGAGGCGGCCAGAGTCAGCAGCAATGAGGAGATCGTTGGTGATCTTGATGAGGGCGGTCTCAGTGCTGTGTTGAAGTCTGAAGCCGGATTGGAAGGGCTCATTGAGCTCATAGTTGGACATGTACAGATGGAGTTGACCGGCGACTACTCTTTCCAAAGTTTTACTTGGGAAAGGTAGGTTGGAGATTTGAGGATAGGGGTGACTGAGGCATTTTTGAAGCCAGTTTGGCCACTTGGGGAGCATCCACAGGGGAGAAGGAGGAGAGGTTGGAGTGGGAGAGGCGCTAAGCTGGGGGTGTGTTGCCAGGTGGCTGAGGTGCAGGTAGGGGGAGGGCCAGGCGCCAGGAGCTGCTGATGGATGGCCTCGACTTTCGCCTGGAAGAAGTCAAGGAATTTGGAGCACAGATCGGGAGCCCCTGAGGGCTGGGGGGCGTCAGTTCATCTCATCTTATCTAAATAGAAATCTAAGTTTTGTGAGGCAAGGCAATGCAAGTTTATTTATACAGCACTTTTCAACACAAGGCAATTCAAAGTGCTTTATAAAAATGAAAGACATTAGGTGCGTTCACACCGCAGTACTTTTCCCACTTTAGTTCCGAAATGTCTCGTTCACACCAAAAAGAGCCGGAACTAAAATTAGTTCATGAGAACCTTTTCACCCCCTTTTCCGTCCCTGCTAGAGAGCAGGGACTTTCGTGGAGAAAAAGGTTCCTATGTCTGATTGGCTAGGCGGATTACAAACCACGCCCCGTAAAACTCCCAAAAAGTTTTGTGAAGCCGCCATTTTATTATCCTCGCATTAGCATTATTAGCATTAGCATTAGCCCAGCGCAGAAACGCAGAGAGACTAACTTATGGCAACACAAAATAAAACATGGGAGCGGTGGAGATGAGGAGGTGTCGGCGTTCTGGCGATTTACTCGGAAGGCTTCAGTAGAAGCTGCTGGGAGTCCCAGCAGCTTCTACTGAAGCCAGTCCCCAACTCCGGGGACTTCCGGGCGGGGACTCCGGGTGGCAGTATACGCCGTGAAGTGGTTTGCGGCCTGCCAGTAAGCCCAAAGCAGAAGAAGAAGAAGTGACGTCAGCGGCTTCATTTGCCTAATCCTCCCCCAGGGATTTATTCCGGTGTGAACGCAATCTGTACTTAGTTCATGAGAACTAAAGAGTTCTCATGAACTAAGTTCTGATGAACCTTTGTGGGAAAAGTACTGCGGTGTGAAAGCGCCTCTTAAGAGCATGAAACACATTAGAAACATTAAAAAGCAAAGGTAATAGAACATGAATAAAGTATAGTGCAGTGTGAGATGTGAATAGTTCAATTAAAAGCAGCGGCAAAAAGAAAGTCTTCAGCCTGGATTTAAAAGTAGTCAGAGTTGCAGCGGACCTGCAGGTTTCTGGGAGTTGGTTCCAGAGATTTGGAAATATCCCTCACCAGATTCTCACATTCCTCTTTCCGTGAAATTAGTTATTTTGACAGTTTTCTAACCTTTCATCCATGTTGCATCCCCAGACAACACATGTCCCTGTTTTACTGTTAGCCGAACCCTTTACTTTCTTTTCAAATCCTAGAATTAGGATATTTAAACCTGTTTTAAGATCGTCGCTCTTTCTCTTTCTGACCACCAGATGGCGACATGAAACCACAGTGTCTCTTTTCCTTTTAATCCCATTACAGCCACTACTGTGACATTTGAAAAGCTTATTCTCACACACACTTCTTATTCCCACACACACTTCTTATTCCCTCACACACTTCATGTTTCTGCTGTCCACCCCCTCCTCCCAGCTGTCGGAGTGACATTTACACAGCAGCTCCTCCAGTACCAGTAATGTAATGCATCTGTAAGGGAATAAAGTGGGAATATAATCCGTTCCATAGCTCTCCGACACAGACACATGAAGCATGCTGGGAGCTGGAAGCGTTTCAAAGCCTCCCAGCAGAGAGAGGAGATGTGATGTTTCTATAATTGCTCTTCTTTATGATGCTAATGCGCTGAGCACGGCCTCTCAGAGTGATGCACGGTTCAGGAAGCGTTTGTGTTTTATTTCCATTATTCCCAGTCCATCCAGAGCCTGCCTCCGGTAGGTGGGATTATGTGTTTCTGGGATTATGTAGCAACAACAGCTGGCCTCATTCCTCTCCTTCTCCTTCAGATTGAATAACCAAACGATATACGAGCTAATGTGTCCTGCTGTTATTTGAAGGTGTGGTTGAGGTGGGGGGTGCAGATGAAGCAGGTTAATCTGTCCTGAATTACAGCGATCCCAGATTACTCCCAGAGGTCAAAGCGCTCTGAGCCTTTTTCACAGACTCAGCCAATCTCTCACCTTCATCTGCAGCTCTGAGCTGATTCAGTCTGTCTGTTAGTATCTGGTGGGGTTGCTTTATTTTTAAAATATATATATTTTATTAATTATTTTTGCTCAATTAAAACCTTATTTAACGTTTGCCGACTTTTTTATTTTTTATTTAACCTTTATTTAACCAGATAAAAGCATTGAGATAGAATCTCATTTGCAATGCTGACCTGGCCAAGAAGGCAGTAACGTTACACAAAACACAAACATATAAAATACAGAGAACATAACTAAGAAAAAAGCAGTCCCTACATTGAGCACATTAGGACAGTAAGAAAGGTGCACTACTTATCACTGCAAGAGCAGCTGGTGGTAAGGACTTCAGACAACTTCAATTTAAAACATGCTATTGAGACAAGTGCCCTCAGTTTGAGGCGTAAGTGAAGGTCATTCCAAGACCAAGGACCATAGGACTTGAAGTTTCAAAGTGCCATTTTATTTGTATTGTTATTATTATTGTTATTTACAATTGTTATATACATACACATATTTTATTCATGTATTTATTTATTATTCCCATGGAAAATTCCACCTTAATTCCACCCTAGAGCCACATTGAAATTCATGTCACGTGACTTGAATTTTGAATTGAGCCGTCCCTTATAGATACCATCTCTTTACGTATTAGTGATGGGAATCCCGGCTCTTTTTAGTGAGTCGGATCATTTGGCTCGGCTCACTAAGAAGAGCCGGCTCTTTTTAGTGAGTCGGATCATTTGGCTCTGCTCACTAAGAAGAGCCGGCTCTTTTTAGTGAGTCGGATCATTTGGCTCGGCTCACTAAGAAGAGCCGGCTCTTTTTAGTGAGTCGGATCATTTGGCTCGGCTCACTAAGAAGAGCCGGCTCTTTCGGCTCCCAAACGGCTCTTCATGTTACCACAGTTTACCACGGAGCCTCCAGGATCACGCTTTGCTGGCAGCGAAAATAATCCCACCAGACTCCTTTGCCCCTCCAACAGAGGGATGTTCTTCTCCTTTTTCCTTTTCGTCATTTCAAGCTATAAAAACTCGAATGATTTAGTTTGTTTGACGCCCTCGGTTCGAGTCCAGGGCGTCCCGAGCTGAATAAGGGCGTCAAATGGCTGCAAGACGCCCCCCTGGCGGAAACGCTGGTTTACGTTAAAGCATGATTTAAATGAATGCTAACTATTTAAATATGTATCTATTGAACCAGGAGAAGTCTCATTGAGATTAAACATGTCTTTTAGGAGAGGGCCAAATGACAGACACCAAATGAAAAACAATAACAGATCAGACACGTTGTCTCACAGACATTCAAATCCATCCTACATTTAGATGATGTCACTAAAGCTGCTGAATGGAGGTCGAGGTGAAGCTGAGGATAACGAGCAGGATGAAGACTCCTCGGGCTTTAAGGGGTCAAAGGTCACCCACTAACCAGCTGTCCACCAAACAGGTTTATCTGTAAGCTGCCAATCAGATGAGGAAGGGGGCGGGTCCACCGTCAGTGTGAACCTCCAATATCTTAAATACTGGGACATGTGGTTTTTGAGGATGTTGAATCAATTTCTGATATTTGGCCATATTTGTACTCCCAGGGGGTCGATTTTGTAGTTTTAGGGGACTCAAAACTACAATGTTGTATCCTACTTTCTGGTTGAAACTGCCATTTATGATCCTGAAAATGTCAGAAATGGACTCAGCATCCTCAATAACCTCCAAAAACACTCCAAAGTTGTCCAAATCAACCAAGCCATTTCTTAACTAATGTCTGCATATGCTAATTAATGCTACTTGTGCTAATGTTGCAGCAAGTTAGCATCCAGCAGTTTCTATGTGCTGGAGACCTGTACTTTACATTTCTATCATACAACTCTGGGCCCTCAGAGTGAACCTCCAATGTCTAAAACAACGTGACATTTGCTTATTGAGGATGTTGAATTAATTTCTGACATATTTAGGATCAGAAATGGCAGTTTCAGTCGTCTAAAACTACAAGAACGTCCCAAAATGCAAGTAAATCAGTCCACAGGGACACTCATATGGCCACTGTCTGGGTAAAACTGCCACTGTTGATCCTGAAAGTGTCAGAAATGTCCTCAATAACCTCCAAAACCTATTGTCTGCAAATGCTAATTAACACAATTTATGCTAATTTTGCAAATTGCCCAACATGCAAGTTAGCATCCGGCAGTTTCTATGTGCTGGAGACCCTGACTATACATTTCTATCATAAAACGTTGGGGTCTCAACATCTCCGGGTTCACAGCAGGACTCTGGGAAACAGCTTTAAGTTTGATCTGGATTCCTCTTGTCCTTAACGAGCCGTTAACGAGCCGTCCTCCTCAGCTTCACCCTGAAGGGACTCAATGGATGACCCTCTGTACGGGAGGGTCAGAAACTGCCGGGGATTGTGGGTAATGGAGAGTCTTTGCTGGCAGCGTTTATGGAGGAAAGTTAATCAAAGACCAGCCAGTTTTGAAGGATGCAGGAGAGGAGAGGGGCAAAGAGCAAGCAATTCAATCTGATCAGAGATGGGAAGTAGTGGAGTACAAATACTTCGTTACGTAATTTAAAAAAATCTGAATGTCCTCTTCCAACATGAGAGTAACGTGATAACAAAGGTATCAACTGTAGCTGTGAACATGACAGGATGTGTGATTACCTAGAAGAGCATCAGGACTGTTTGAGGCAGATGATAGCTCTGTGATTAACATGAGGATTCAGCCTCTATGGAGAGAGACATCAAGCATGCTCATTTCTGACGTGGAGCTAATCTGAAGTAAACATTGAATACTGCTTTCTATTCCTCCATCTTGTGACTGTGTAACTCCCTCTCTTGGATATCAGCATGTGAAGGACACTGTTCAGGAACTAGCTGATGCTCTGTATGTGATGACTCCTTCCATTCTTCAAAGTCAGAATGTTGAGTTTTTGAGAAAAAGTCCCAAAAAATTGAGACTTTGAGAAAAAGTCAGAATTCTTGCAGATTGTGAGAAAAGTCAGAATGTTTAGAAAAAGTTAAACATTTTAGAAAAAGTCAGAATTGTGAGATTTTGAATACATGTATCCTTATATTGAAGCTCAAGCCGGTGACGAGTGATATTTTTCTAACAGTCAGTAATCTAATATCTCCTCACAGAGCCCTCATTGCAGCGACTTTGTGGACGAACTGACCGAATATAAGACGAAGAGCGTCCTCGCCACTCCGATAATGAACGGGAAAGATATGGTGGCCGTCATGATGGCCGTCAACAAGCTGGAAGAACCCTGCTTCACCGCCAAGGATGAAGAGGTAGCGCTGAGTAATTCCCAGTTAGTTTACAATCACTGGGAACACATCAAGTCTTTAGTGCTTTATTTTATTGTTGTATATAAATGTATAGGAACCAGGAGAGGTTATCACTTCCATTTCTCAGTGTGTGTGTGTGTGTGTGTGTGTGTGTGTTTTCTTTCTTTCAGACCCTCAACAAGTACCTGTACTTCGCCAACCTGCTGCTGAGGGTCTACCACCTGAGCTACCTGCACAACTGTGAGACCCGCAAAGGACAGGTGAGCAACAAAAAAAACCGTCAACTTCTCATGGCCGTACGCAGGACTTGTTTGTTCTGATTGGTCTCCTGTGATCAGGTGCTGCTGTGGTCGGCCAGCAAGGTGTTTGAGGAGCTGACGGACATCGAGAGGATGTTCCACAAAGCGCTGTACACGGTCAGAGCGTTCCTGAACTGTGACCGCTACTCTGTGGGTCTGCTGGACATGACCAAGACCAAGGTGGGTGTCTCTACTTTAAAGAGTCCTCTCCTGCTGATGTTCAGGTGTATATCAGTATGTAGTGTCTCTACTTTAAAGAGTCCTCCCCTGCTGATGTTCAGGTGTATATCAGTATGTAGTGTCTCTACTTTAAAGAGTCCTCTCCTGCTGATGTTCAGGTGTATATCAGTATGTAGTGTCTCTACTTTAAAGAGTCCTCTCCTGCTGATGTTCAGGTGTATATCAGTATGTAGTGTCTCTACTTTAAAGAGTCCTCTCCTGCTGATGTTCAGGTGTATATCAGTATGTAGTGTCTCTACTTTAAAAGAGTCCTCTCCCTGCTGATGTTCAGGTGGTAATATCAGTATGTATTGTCTCTACTTAAAGAGGTCCTCCTCTCCTGCTGATGGTTTCAGGTGTATATCAGTATGTAGTGTCTCTACGTTAAAGAGTCCTCTCCTGCTGATGGTCAGGTTGTAAATATCAGTATGTAGTGTCTCTACTTTAAAGAGTCCTCTCCTGCTGATGTTCAGGTGTATATCAGTATGTAGTGTCTCTACTTTAAAGAGTCCTCTCCTGCTGATGTAGTGTCTCTACTTTAAAGAGTCCTCTCCTGCTGATGTTCAGGTGTATATCAGTATGTAGTGTCTCTACTTTAAAGAGTCCTCTCCTGCTGATGTTCAGTATATCAGTATATCAGTATGTAGTGTCTCTACTTTAAAGAGTCCTCTCCTGCTGATGTTTCAGGTGTATATCAGTATGTAGTGTCTCTACTTTAAAGAGTCCTCTCCTGCTGATGTTCAGGTGTATATCAGTATGTAGTGTCTCTACTTTAAAGAGTCCTCTCCTGCTGATGGTCAGGTTTAGCCTATTCAGGTGTATAGTATGTAGTGTCTCTACTTTAAAGAGTCCTCTCCTGCTGATGTTCAGGTGTATATCAGTATGTAGTGTCTCTACTTTAAAGAGTCCTCTCCTGCTGATGTTCAGGTGTATATCAGTATGTAGTGTCTCTACTTTAAAGAGTCCTCTCCTGCTGATGTTCAGGTGTATATCAGTATGTAGTGTCTCTACTTTAAAGAGTCCTCTCCTGCTGATGTTCAGGTGTATATCAGTATGTAGTGTCTCTACTTTAAAGAGTCCTCTCCTGCTGATGTTCAGGTGTATATCAGTATGTAGTGTCTCTACTTTAAAGAGTCCTCTCCTGCTGATGTTCAGGTGTATATCAGTATGTAGTGTCTCTACTTTAAAGAGTCCTCTCCTGCTGATGTTCAGGTGTATATCAGTATGTAGTGTCTCTACTTTAAAGAGTCCTCTCCTGCTGATGTTCAGGTGTATATCAGTATGTAGTGTCTCTACTTTAAAGAGTCCTCTCCTGCTGATGTTCAGGTGTATATCAGTATGTAGTGTCTCTACTTTTAAAGAGTCCTCTCCTGCTGATGTTCAGGTGTATATCAGTATGTAGTGTCTCTACTTTAAAGAGTCCTCTCCTGCTGATGTTCAGGTTGTATATCAGTATGTAGTGTCTCTACTTTAAAGAGTCCTCTCCTGCTGATGTTCAGGTGTATATCAGTATGTAGTGTCTCTACTTTAAAGAGTCCTCTCCTGCTGATGTTCAGGTGTATATCAGTATGTAGTGTCTCTACTTTAAAGAGTTCTCTCCTGCTGATGTTCAGGTGTATATCAGTATGTAGTGTCTCTACTTTAAAGAGTCCTCTCCTGCTGATGTTCAGGTGTATATCAGTATGTAGTGTCTCTACTTTAAAGAGTTCTCTCCTGCTGATGTATCAGGGAATGGAAACCCCCAACAAGCTGAACATGGCCTCTTTAACTAAATGCACTGATTGCTTATTAGCTTTTCTTTAAAACCTTTGGGGTTTCTTTGATGAACCTGCTCTACTTTCTTCCGCTTCAATCCCTCGCAGTAACACTTTATATCTACTGATCAAAGTGGAACTATCCCCATGTATTTATGTTTACTACCGTGTTGTAGTAAATTCGACTTATTGTCTGTCTGTCTCTTGATTACGAGCAGCTGCTCTCTGAGAACAAACACATGTTGTCTGCACACACAGATGGCTGTCTGCGTTCTTCAATAACGCTCTTAAAAAACAAACACAACTGGCAGCTCCGCTTATGGAAACTGTGCTCGATAAAAACACATATTCCACGGCATACTGTCTCTACTCCTGTGTGTACATTTGTTTTAATTGTATATCTTCTGACTGTGTGTGTGTGTGTGTGTGTGTGTGTGTGTGTGTGTGTGTGTGTGTGTGTGTGTGTGTGTGTGTGTGTGTGTGTGTGTGTGTGTGTGTGTGTGTGTGTGTGTGTGTGTGTGTGTGTGTGTGTGTGTGTGTGTGTGTGTGTGTGTGTGTGTGTAGGAGTTCTTTGACCTGTGGCCGGTCCTCATGGGAGAAGTTCCCCCGTATGATGGACCTAAGACTCCTGATGGCAGGGTGAGAATAATCAATAACTGAAAAGAGTCTTCATTATAACTTATCCGTGAGAAAGACACGCTACAATTCCCATGGAATGTGCAGGTAGGAAATGACACACTTCAGATGTTCCTGCTGGCTAATCTCTAGGAAATATATTCATTTTGCCAGAATTCTGACTTTAAGATTTGTTTTAGTTTTTTTACGATTTTCTCTCAGAAAAAAAAAGTTAGATACAACATTTTTTTTATAGGATGTATTTATTTGACTTTTTGTTACATTTCCTCAGAACTCAGACTTTAAGTCAGGGGGGTCAAACTCAAATACACAGTGGGCCAAAATAAAAAAATGGGTACTAGTGGAGGGTCGGACTGGTTCAATGTTTATAGCAGAACTTATTGAAATGAACTTGTTGCACATATTAAACCTGGAACTAACAAAGCTTCAATGATTGCCTATAAAAACAACATTAAATAATCAGCTGCATTCATTTCTTATGGCTCTATCTGCAGCTTCTCCAGAGTCATTTGTTATGAGTACATTTTCCCACAGGCCAACAACAGCTTCAACAAAACTATTCCCCTCAAAGAGAAACCAAACATGCCCTGCTGTCCTGAGAGAAAGTGCAGAAGGAAGCATCCATTGAACTCAGTGTGCTGCTCTGTGATGCTAGCTCAGATACTTGGCATCTCATCTTGGGTGCAAGGTCATCAATGTTTGGGCTCAGGCTCTGAGCGGAGGAGACCCTCAGGATGGAGGGAAGGTGTGCTGTGCAATATACCGGCGGGCCAGATCTAATAGGAATTAGAAATTATCCTGCGGGCCGAAATTAAAGCCACCACGGGCCTGATTTGGCCCCCGGGCCTCGAGTTTGACACATTTGCTTTAAACTGAATTATTATAATTGTTTTTCTCCAGATTTTTTTTTTTACTTTTCGTGACTTTTTCCTGAATTCTGTTTGAAATTTGATTTAAAAACTTTTTAGCAACATTTTTCTCGGAATTCTGACTTTAATTTCAGAAAGACAAAATAAATGGTTAGAAAATAAAAAAAAATGGTATATATTTTTTTCTGACCTTCCTCAACACTTTGATCACAGAAAACAAATGGTGAGAGAAAGTCAATAAAATATTTATTTTATTGACTTTTTGTGACTTTTCCCTCAGATTTCTTAATCTTATCTCAGATTCGGCAGAAACATATTTTACATATTTGTGACTTTTTTTCTCAGAATTCTGACTTAGAAATAAAAGTGGTTTGAAAAAATCTCTTTTTCTCAAAACTCTGACTTTAATGACTGAACTATAAAAAAAAAATCACTTTTGGTCAGAATTACAAGATGATTGCAGAACCCTAATTCTCTTCCATAGTCCCAAAAGTTTTATTATTTTTTGCAAAATATTTTCAAAATGTAGCTCTCACTACTACTCCTGATATATGTTCACTACAGCTGCTGCAACTAACTGTAAATACCATTCCTTCACCTCCACTCTCGGTTGTTTTGTCTCTAAAGGAAATCATCTTCTACAAACTGATCGACTACATCCTCCACGGCAAAGAGGACATCAAAGTCATCGCGTGAGTCACAACGGAGATCCAGTTCAAGAGTTGTTGACCACTAGGGGCTTCTTTTGTTTGTTCTGTGCCCTACACATACTTGACGTATTTTATGTCGTAGCTTGACCACAGACCTTATTTCAGACTAACAACAAAAAACCCTTTCAGAAACCCATTGACCTCCAGACCGGGACGTGATGACATGTTGACTCTTTTCGGGGTTTCAGGACTCACTCTATTCCACTGATATACAGGAGGTTTATGAAAGCGTTTTTATAACAGCAGGATATTAATGATTTCTTTCCTTTCTCACGAAACCATTCATGATTTTTTATTACCTAATAATACAAGGAACAAAACGAGTCATTTATCTTCAGCGTTTGTTTGTTTCCATGATCCAGCACTGCTGCTCTTGTAAACAGTATTATCTCACCTGTGTTAATGGAGCGGCTGCATTACTTAATATGGAAGATTCTACATAGCGTTTCATATAAACACAGAGTAGGACATTCATCTCCATGTGTGTTGTGTTTTCAGTCTGTTGGAGATGATTATCATAACCGTAACATGTTCCATTAACGTGTGCTGGTCCTCAGGACTCCTGCAGCCGATCACTGGGCGCTGGTGAGCGGGTTACCAACGTACGTGGCAGAAACTGGACTGGTGCGTGTTTCTCTTCCTCTAGTTCAGTTGCTTTAAGATCACACTGTTCTGAAATGAGCATCCACTCTTTAGTATGTAAAGCAAAACATAAAGGCATGACGTGAAAAGGTGTGACCGTTTTCAATAACAGTTATTATAAGTATTATTTCGTGACTAACCAGAGGTGGGAGAAGTACTCAGGTCTTGTGCTTGAGTAGAAGTAGAAGTACTCAGGTCTTGTGCTTGAGTAGAAGTAGAAGTACTCAGGTCTTGTACTTGAGTAGAAGTAGAAGTACTCAGGTCTTGTGCTTGAGTAGAAGTAGAAGTACTCAGGTCTTGTATTTGAGTAAAAGTAGAAGTACTCAGATCTTGTACTTGAGGAAAAGTAGAAGTACTCAGGTCTTGTGCTTGAGTAAAAGTAGAAGTACTCAGATCTTGTACTTAAGTAAAAGTAGAAGTACTCAGGTCTTGTACTTGAGTAAAAGTAGAAGTACTCAGATCTTGTACTTGAGTAAAAGTAGAAGTACTCAGATCTTGTTCTTGAGTGAAAGTAGAAGTACTCAGATCTTGTACTTGAGTAGAAGTAGAAGTTCTCAGGTCTTGTACTTGAGTAGAAGTAGAAGTACTCAGATCTTGTACTTGAGTAAAAGTAGAAGTACTCAAATATTGTACTTGAGTAGAAGTAGAAGTACTCAGATCTTGTACTTGAGTAAAAGTAGAAGTACTCAGATCTTGTACTTGAGTAAAAGTAGAAGTACTCAGATCTTGTACTTGAGTAAAAGTAGAAGTACTCAGATCTTGTATTTGAGTAAAAGTAGAAGTACTCAGATCTTGTACTTCAGTAAAAGTAGAAGTACTCAGATCTTGTACTTGAGTAGAAGTAGAAGTACTCAGATCTTGTATTTGAGTAAAAGTAGAAGTACTCAGATCTTGTACTTGAGTAAAAGTAGAAGTACTCAGATCTTGTATTTGAGTAAAAGTAGAAGTACTCAGATCTTGTACTTGAGTAAAAGTAGAAGTACCAGAGTGTAGGAAACTCTGTTACAGTAAAAGTCCTGCATTCAAAATGTTACTCAAGTAAAAGTAAAAGTATTAGCATCAACATATAGTGAAAGTACCAAAAAGAAAAGTAGTCGTTGTGCAGATTGGTCCATTTCAGAATAAATTAAAATAGATTGTGTCCTTTGACACTTCCCTGTCTGTTTCTGTGTTATTCTCCATCGCTGGAGACGATAGCTCCTAACGCGCTAACGTTAGCATCCAGTGCCCATCCCAACTTCCTATAGAAGAACTTTCTTTATATCTCTCCTTACTCGACATATTTGCATCGTCCATCGACTGGGATGATTTGCCAGGAAGAGTTTCCACTGTTACATTACTGCGTGTTTTAATGGAAGCAATGTTCTCAGGTGGCAGTGATGCAGTGTACATCTCTAACGCTCTTATTTTGAAATGGAGATCTTGACCCTGAAGCAGGCAGAAAGCAATGCTGCCCAAACGATGATGGAGTCATTATTCTGCAGACATCATGCAGCTAAAGCAAAAAAGAAAAGTTCTCGATAGACACTTTAAACTTATAGGAGGAATAAAAATCCACTTTGTAAACGTATCGTTTGTTGGACTCTCCTCAGGGCGCTGTAAATCAGACGTAATGGACATTAGCACAGCAGCAGAGGGACGGACACTACATCGATAAAAGAGGCCAAACCGTTCATCTGCCAGAAATATTTGCAATGTCGACAAGAACATTTTAAATTCAATGCATTTCACTTTCACATCTACTTTATTGCAACGAGTTATTAGCAGTGGCTCAGTCAGTAGGGGCTTGGACTGTGAGCCGTAGGGCCTCCGGTTCAAGTCCCCGACCAGACCTAAATATGGAGTGTGGACTGCTACTTGGAGAGGTCCCAGTTCACCTCCTGCCCTGCCGTGGTGCCCTTGAGCAAGGCACCGGACACCCCCCTTCCCCTCACTCCCATTGCTCCCCGGGCGCTGTACAATAGCTGCCCACTGCTCCTAGTGCTAGACTCCTGGTGCTAGACTCCTGGTGCTAGACTCCTGGTGCTAGACTCCTGGTGCCAGACTCCTGGTGCTAGACTCCTGGTGCTAAATTCCTAGTACTAGACTCCTGGTGCTAGACTCTTGGTGCTAAATTCCTAGTACTAGACTCCTGGTACTAGACACCTGGTACTAGTCTCCTGGTACTAGACACCTGGTGCTAGACTCCTGGTACTAGACTCCTGGTGCTATATTCCTAGTACTAGACTCCTGGTACTAGACACCTGGTACTAGTCTCCTGGTGCCAGACTCCTGGTGCTAGACTCCTGGTACTAGACTCCTGGTGCTAGACTCCTGGTGCTAGACTCCTGGTACTAGACTCCTGGTGCTAGACTCCTGGTGCTAGCCTGCTGGTACTAGACTCCTGGTACTAGACTCCTGGTGCCAGACTCCTGGTGCTAGACTCCTGGTACTAGACTCCTGGTGCTAGACTCCTGGTGCTAGCCTCCTGGTACTAGACTCCTGGTGCTAGACTCCTGGTGCTAGACTCCTAGTACTAGACTCCTGGTACTAGACTCCTGGTGCTAGACTCCTGGTACTAGACTCCTGGTACTAGACTCCTGGTGCCAGACTCCTGGTACTAGACTCCTGGTACTAGACTCCTAGTACTAGACTCCTGGTACTAGACTCCTGGTGCCAGACTCCTGGTGCTAGACTCCTGGTACTAGACTCCTGGTACTAGACTCCTGGTGCCAGACTCCTGGTGCCAGACTCCTGGTACTAGACTCCTGGTACTAGACTCCTGGTGCTAGACTCCTGGTACTAGACTCCTAGTACTAGACTCCTGGTACTAGACTCCTGGTGCCAGACTCCTGGTGCCAGACTCCTGGTACTAGACTCCTGGTACTAGACTCCTGGTACTAGACTCCTAGTACTAGACTCCTGGTACTAGACTCCTAGTACTAGACTCCTGGTACTAGGATGGGTTAAAAGCAGAGAGCACATGTCACTGTGTGCTGGGGGCTCTGCCTGTGAGACCATTAAAGAGGGTTTCCCAATTCTATTCTATTAAAGGACACTGAGGCCAGGGGCCCAAAGTGCATGAAATAAACAACAGAGACACTTTTCCTAAAAACTGTGGGCAAAATAAATGTCAGTCGGACAGAAATGCTTTGGGATTTCACACGAGGGTTTTCGATTGATTCGCCGCGCGGGAATACAACTGTTCCACTCCTTAATTTACCGTATCATGAACATTTGGTCCCTGAAAAAGGGCCAAGAGCAGTTTTTCTTATGATAACATTATAGCACAAAGAAGTGGTTAAACCTGACTTCCTGTAAACATTTTATATATTAATATAATGTGCATATTCTTACTTTAACTTCTTACGTTCTTGTAAATATCTTACATTAATTGTATTGTATATTTGTATTGTATATTTGTATTGCGCATTCATTCGTACTTTAACTTGTTATTTTTATATATTGTATTATTGACATCTCTTATCGGATGTCCTTCTGCTTTGTTATATCTTCCTCTACAGATTTGTAACATCATGAACGCAGGTCAGGACGATTTCTTCAAATTCCAGGTGAGACGTCCTTTAACTTTTGTCTAGTTTGGAGTAACTTAACACCAAAGCATCAGTTTGTCATGAAGTCTGCGTTATGATCTTCAGAACATGTTCAAATGTTCCTTTTCTACCTGGAGAGTTAAAACATAACTTCATCCAATAGCCATGTTTAATCTCCAGCTTTCTAAACTAATCCTTAATATGTCTCTGCTCAGTGGATGTCATTAGGTAATAATATTTAAATCCGGAGAGAAGGTGTTGATGTAAGAATACATATTTATTGCCAGGAATACACAAATGAATGTAATGGTGATTTTGGCGATGAGGCCCCGTTGTACGGGAGTATCATTCGGGAGCGGAGAACCGACCCGATGAAACCCCCCGGGGTCTAGACACTGGTGGTGGTGAGTTGGGGTCGGTCTGAAGGGGAGGGGCTTAGCTTGACCCTGGATTCAGAGGGAGGGGAGGTGAAAAGGGGTGAAGGAGGGTTGCGTCGAGTCACCTGAAATGACAGCTGTCAGAGGGGAGAGAGCAGACTTAAAAAGGTTTAGCGGAGCGCTATGATAGGCTTGTGAGAATAGAGCGAAGTGATTGGTTAAACTGGAGTGACGCCCCCGATCACTTATTGAGAGGAGAGAGAGTAGTTACATGGGAATAGTAAATGAATAAAGACGGTCTTCCTGGTTGAACTTGCGCTGAGCTTCATTTATCTGTTATTCACCTCATGTTGATGGCTAATAATAACTCTCGACGCAAGAAGGGTAGACAAAGGTCCACAGTGTTAAAATGTATAAAAACAAGTTAACATAAGAGACTCATATAACCTGTCTGTGTGCTGATTAGCTAGCGAACATTAGCGACCTTTAGCTATCTATTGCACAAGCTAACATTAGCTGTAAACTTAACAATCTAGTTAGCTCACGCTAGCTTTCTTATTTACAAGCAAGCTAACATTTACTATCTATCTAACCAATTATCTAGCTTACTGTATGTAAAATCTATGTATATAATATCTCTCTCTATCGAACAACTAGCATTAGCTGTAAACTTAACAATGAATTAGCTCACGTTAGCTTTTTCATTTACAAGCTAGCTAACGTCTACTATCTATCTAACCAATTAGCTAGCTTATGTTAGCTACCTATCTAAGAAGCTAGCTAGTTGCTGGCTCTCATAATTAACAATCTAGATCAGTGATTCTCAAATGGGGGTACGCGGACCCCTAGGGGTACGTTGGGGTACTGCAGGGGGTACGTGAGATTTAAAAAACAAAAAAAAGTTAATTAAAAAAATACCATGCATGATTACAAAAATAATCTTAGTATGATAAGTTAAATAGAAAACACAATTTTATATAAAATATTCCTAGAACCACCTCATATAAACATGTCAAATGTGTGTATTGTATAGTTTTGCATAATATATCATTTTGTTCATTGGTTTGTTAAACTTCAATTGAAAAACTCCTGTTTACATTTTCTTTCGTTATGTTATTATTTTTCATGCATAAAATGAAAATATCCTTAGTTAGTTGTAACTCGTGCATGAAGGAGTAAATAAATCACACACTGAGGGAACATCACTATATTGGAATTATTTGTATAGGGTTTTTCGATCAAAAATGTTCGGGGTCGGTCAGGGGGTGCTTGGCTGAGAAAATGTTTCAAAGGGGGAACACTACTGAAAAAAGTTTGAGAAGCCCTGATTTAGATAACATGAGCTTGCTAATTTACAAGTTAGCTAATGTTTGCTATCTATCTAACCAATGACCTATTTTATGTACAATCTATCTATATAATCTCTCTCTATCTAACAAGCTAGCTACTGAATATGGCAACATTGGTGGCTCTCATTGTTTGAATTGGATTTATTATTTAACCCCTTATGGTTAAACTTGCAGTGTGGACCTGTGTCTACGTTCAGGCAGTGAGAGTAATTATAAAAACATGTTGATGTGTTTTTCTTTAAGCTAACCGTCTGCTCTCATACAGCAGCTCCTCACAGCTCCAAACATCGACGTAGATTCATAAATATGCGTTATTTGGATAAACTAATCACATATTGGTAATCTAAATGCTTTGTTTCTCACCTTAAATAGTGTTATAACTCAATAACAGTGCATTCAAAAGCGTAAAAACGGTTTTCTTTCGTGAGTAAAGCTGGCTACACTATGCAAAGGAATAGCAATTATGCTCTCTGGAAATAACAACACAAAATACAACAATGTCACCTTAGCAGAGGTGGTTACAGCACATACCAGTTTGTTTCCACATTAATTAATATACAGATAAATGAAAATGTAGTCATTATCAACTCTAACACATTTACATTGGTTCCCTAATGTCTTCAAAGCATGTGAAAATCATCCATCAGATCCAGTCTATCGTTCATTTGCTTCTTATTATACATCTTTACGTGTAATCAGCGCTTCCTGCTGTTTTCGCTCAGTATCTGTAATCAGATTATGATGTTGATATTAGCATATCACAGATTACAGTCATTGCATTATGTGTTGAGTGATGTGAATGAAACAGATCTCAGAGTATATTTATGAATATTGTATTAAAAAAGTAATCAAGCTGTATAATGGTGTCTCATAAAAGAGCACCAGGGACCAATCGGAGGGATTCTGCCTAAATAGATGATACTTTCCCCCTGCTCTCTTTAGTGTAAATTGGTTTCCTGAGGGCTATAAAGCGACCATTATATTTATCCTTATTATACAGAGTCTCTGAAAGCCATTGTCCTCGTTCATACGTCTCAAAGTGAATCTGAATGTTGAAGAAAATGCCTCACAGGTCGATCTCACTAATCCATACCAGATACTTAGTATTTCCTGTTTATAAAACATACTTATTATCATAGCGAGTTATTCATGTCACGGAGCAGCATCCGTGCATTTCACATTAATTGCTGACCTGCAGATGAGCGTGAATTGGGCTAAAATCGGTCCAAGCATCCCTACTGTTTATCCCTAACAGGTGATGATACAAAACGTGAAACATCTGATGTAAATCAACCCCCACCGCTAAGCTAAAGGTGGCTAATGTTGGGCTATAAAGGAACTACAGCACGGTCACATGACTTCACGTCCCCACCGCTAAGCTAAAGGTGGCTAATGTTGGGCTATAAAGGAACTACAGCACAGTCACATGACTTCACGTCACCACCGCTAAGCTAAAGGTGGCTAATGTTGGGCTATAAAGGAACTACAGCACAGTCACATGACTTCACGTCGCCACCGCTAAGCTAAAGGTGGCTAATGTTGGGCTATAAAGGAACTACAGCACAGTCACATGACTTCACGTCACCCACCGCTAAGCTAAAGGTGGCTAATGTTGGGCTATAGAGGAACTACAGCACAGTCACATGACTTCACGTCGCCACCGCTAAGCTAAAGGTGGCTAATGTTGGGCTATAAAGGAACTACAGCACGGTCACATGACTTCACGTCACCACCCGCTAAGCTAAAGGTGGCTAATGTTGGGCTATAAAGGAACTACAGCACAGTCACATGACTTCACGTCGCCACCGCTAAGCTAAAGGTGGCTAATGTTGGGCTATAAAGGAACTACAGCACGGTCACATGACTTCACGTCACCACCGCTAAGCTAAAGGTGGCTAATGTTGGGCTATAGAGGAACTACAGCACAGTCACATGACTTCACGTCGCCACCGCTAAGCTAAAGGTGGCTAATGTTGGGCTATAAAGGAACTACAGCACAGTCACATGACTTCACGCCACCACGCTAAGCTAAAGGAGGCTAATGTTGGGCTATAAAGGAACTACAGCACGGTCACATGACTTCACGTCACCACCGCTAAGCTAAAGGTGGCAAATGTTGGGCTATAAAGGAACTACAGCACGGTCACATGACTTCACGTCACCACCGCTAAGCTAAAGGTGGCAAATGTTGGGCTATAAAGGAACTACAGCACGGTCACATGACTTCACGTCGCCACCGCTAAGCTAAAGGTGGCTAATGTTGGGCTATAAAGGAACTACAGCACGGTCACATCACTTGATGTCGCCACCGCTAAGCTAAAGGTGGCTAATGTTGGGCTATAAAGGAACTACAGCACGGTCACTTGACTTCACGTCACCATCGCTAAGCTAAAGGTGGCTAATGTTGGGCTATAAAGGAACTACAGCACGGTCACATGACTTCATTTCAGCAACTGCTGCTGTTATACAATCTGTTCATATTTTAGGGTCAGTGAGCAGGTGAATTATTGATTATCTCATATTTCCTCAGAATGTAGAAGGTCACGCCACGAGCCGTCCTCCTCAGCTTCACCCTGAAGGGACTCAATGGATGACCCTCTGTACAGGAAAAAATCTGAATGTACTCTTCCAATATGAGAGTAACATGATAACAAATGACTGTGTGTGTGTGTGTGTGTGTGTGTGTGTGTGTGTGTGTGTGTGTGTGTGTGTGTGTGTGTGTGTGTGTGTGTGTGTGTGTGTGTGTGTGTGTGTGTGTGTGTGTGTGTGTGTGTGTGTGTGTGTGTGTGTGTGTGTGTGTGTGCAGAAAGAGCCTCTGGATGATTCGGGCTGGACCATTAAGAACGTCTTATCTCTGCCCATCGTCAACAAGAAAGAGGAGATAGTGGGCGTGGCAACGTTCTATAACCGGAAAGATGGGAAACCCTTTGATGAGCAGGATGAAACACTGATGGAGGTGCGTGTGTGTGTGTGTGTGAGTGTTTGTGTGAATCATTGGTTTATAAATACACTGGGTCCATTCAGAGCGTCTGCATTATTTATCTCTGCGCCCCGAGGCTTTCTGCTCAAGTCTCTCAGCTCAGGATTAAAACACACAACACGACAGCTTCAAATGTTCCCCGAAAAACAGAGGAACGATTTTTTTATCTTGTCAATAAAATATAACCAGGGTTTTAATTTTAGGAAAGAAAAAAACAAGATATTTAGGATCAGAAATGATTTTATTTATAGGAAAACCTGCCTTTCATGAAGCAGATTCACGCAGTAACACCGAAACACATGAGCACGTACTACAGTTTAAAAAAGCAGAAAGCTCACACACACTATTTGATGAACATATGGGTTCACCTGCTGAATTAAAAACAGAACAGATGAAGCAAAGGAAGTGAAGGCGTGTAGATTCACACTTAAAGTATTAGCCTACAGAACAGCACCATTTACGGAGAAGGGATAACATCTGATCCACTTTCAAACAAGTCAGAAGAATTCAGGATTCTGAGGATTTTTAAGAAGAGGATTAGGGCCATGTGTAATCAAAAAGATCACCTCCAGCAGGTTCAGATAGTAGACGTATAGATTCACACTTAAAGTATTATCCTACAGATCAGCTCTAACCCAGAAAACATCTGATCCTTTTACAACAAACACAATATGATCTTTTTAGGGTTTTAATAACACTGTGATCCTGCTAATTACCCCCATATTTTGAAATGTAATCTGATTACTTCTCCTGTAATGTCCCCAGTCTCTGACTCAGTTCCTGGGCTGGTCGGTGCTGAACACCGATACGTACGACAAACTGAACAAGCTGGAGAACAGGAAGGACATCTTCCAGGACATGGTGCTGTACCACGTCAAGTGCCGCAAGGACGAGATCCAACACGTCCTGGTCAGTAAATAAATACATCAATACGTAAATAACAAATGAATGCTTCCACCAAATCTTCTCCTCGGACACACTCAATGGCATTACTTCAACTTCCCATCTTTACGTTACACAGATGCATTTCGCTGAGAACACGAACTGATGTTTTTGACTAAGAAATTAAAGGAAACAAATCCACACAAACATAAACATTATCAGATTTAAAGTTCATAATTTATACAAATCATGGACATGGTGCTGTACCACGTCAAGTGTCGCAAGGACGAGATCCAACACGTCCAGAGGCCTGTACTACGAAGCTGGTTCAACCTAACGTGGATATGTTTGAGTTATCCGGTTGGCCTAATCCAAAACATACGCGCTCTCGCTAAATTGTACTACGACGCTGGTTATCAAGTGGATCGCTCAAGCCAGCCGTGTCCTATCTAGTTAGGTGCGCGTTCACATGAGAGGGGTGGTATCTGGAGCATTCGACCAATCACAAACATGGAGAAGCGCACTGACAGCGCAGCGTCATACTTCCTGAATGAAAAGTCAACTATAATATTAGACATATGAAGAAGTTAAACTTTAAACATCCATGACTTAAACACTTGATCCAGGATCAAAGCCACAGAGCTGCACCTGCAAGGTGAATACAGCTGGGAACAGAACAAGTGTTTGAATGCGTACATTAACAGGTTTATGATATCACTGCCCGTCTAAGACACCATCTGACTTTAATTACATTTGTCTCGAGTGTTTCCTCAACTTAATGTGTTGTTTAAAATAATACTTCTGCATACAGTATGTGACACTGTGAGTGTTGCACGGCCAGATACGGCTCAGCTGACTCAGATCAGGAGATATATGATACATTATGAAGTGATATGCCGCGGACTGTACTTAATGTTACTCTGATCCGGTTACTTATGTTGTGGCAGATATTTAATTAAGCTTTCTTAACGCTAATGTTATAATAGTCAGATTGCTCTGAAGATGGAGGTGATATTCTATTCATGTTCACGTTCACACAGTCGCTGATTTTTGCCGGCCGTCTTTCCTGCAACGGCAGTTTTTCTGTATTTCCTTTCTCCTGTAATATGACTTGATCGCTTTAAACTCCGCACACGGAGCTCTGATTGGTCAGCAGGCGGTGCTTTCACTGAGTTGAGCTCTTAGCCTGCAACCTAACCTGGTCCGGAGCAGGTTAGCCGCTCAGCATCAGTTACCATGGAGATCTAGCCGCTAAAAAGAGAACCAGCTTCGTAAGACCGGAAAGCAGAGTTTTCCCTGAAGTTAGCCGCTAAGCGAACATCCTGCTTCGTAGTACAGGCCTCTGGTCAGTAAATAAATACAAAATAAATAAATCAGAATCAGAAACAGGTTTATTTCCAGGCAGGTTGACACGTCCGAGGACTCTGACTTGATGTCATGGTGCTTACATAAAAGTAAAACAAAAATAGAAAAACACAGATAGAGAACTATTTTAAGAAAACTATACTAACATAAAAAAAATATAGCAGTATTTACATAAAAATAGATTGAAATAAAATGTAATAATAAATGAATGCTTCGGCTACAGGGAGACTCAAACACTCAAAGGCTGATATAAAGAAACCATCTGCACCGCGGCATCACTTGCACTTTCCAAACATCGCCTTTTTCTGTACTTTTTAGCCTTGAACACAAACTGAGGAAACAAGGAAACAAATCCACGCAAACATTATCATAAATTTGATCATTTGTACAAATCATACTCTGTTACAGTAAGTGTTGAAAAACAATAGGATGGTTTTAAGTTGATAATGGGGCATAACATATCGTTTTTAATTGTTGTTATGTTGAAATGTAATTAAATTAAAGATTTCTATGTGCAACTAGTGCTACTACATTTTATATACAATTTTTAAATGTTAGCGGTTCCTTTACATTACATTACATTGCATTGCATTTAGCTGAAGCTTTTATCCAAAGCGACTTACAATAAGTACATTCGACCAGGAAGACACAACCTTGAAGAAAACAGAATCATAAAGTACATCAGGTTTCATAGAGCCAAACATTTCAAGTGCTACTCAACTGGCTTTAGATAAGCCAGTCCTTTATCAGTATATAAGTGCTTTGTTAATAGTTCTAACGCTCGAAGTGGAGTCGAAAGAGATGAGTTTTCAGTTTGCGCCGGAAGATGTGCAAGCTATCTGCCGTCCTGATGTCAATGGGGAGCTCATTCCACCATCTTGGAGCCAGGACAGCAAACCCACGTGTTTTCGCCGATGGGAACTTGGGTCCCCCTCGCAGCGAGGGCGCAACGAGTCGTTTGGCTGATGCAGAGCGTAGTGCACGCGCTGGGGTGTACGGTTTAACCATGTCCTGGATGTAGGAAGGGCCAGATCCATTCGCAGCATGGTAAGCAAGTACCAGTGTCTTGAAGTGGATTCTAGCAGTTACCGGAAGCCAGTGAAGGGAGCGGAGGAGCGGAGTGGTGTGGGAGAATTTAGGAAGGTTGAAGACCAGACGAGCCGCTGCATTCTGGATGAGCTGCAGAGGTCGGATGGCACATGCAGGTAAACCAGCCAGGAGGGAGTTGCAGTAGTCTAGGCGTGAGATGACGAGAGCCTGGACCAGAACCTGAGTCGCTTTCTGTGTCAGCTGGGGACGTATCCTCCTGATGTTGTAAAGCGTGTATCTGCAGCAGCGGGTTGTAGCAGCGATGTTTGCAGTGAAGGACAGGTTGTTATCTAGGGTCACACCCAGATTCCTTGCAGTCCGAGTCGGGGAAACAACTGAGGTGCCGATGTTGATTGTCAGGTCAAGAGTTGGACAATCTTTTTCCGGAAGGAAGAGCAGCTCAGTCTTGTCAAGGTTGAGCTTGAGGTGGTGAGCAGACATCCACTGAGAGATGTCAGCTAGACAAGCAGAGATGCGTGCGACGACCTGGGTCTCTGAGCGGGGAAAGGACAGAATTAATTGGGTGTCGTCAGCGTAGCAGTGGTAAGAAAAACCATGCTGGCTAATGACTGATCCGAGCGAGTTTGTGTACACGGAGAAGAGGAGGGGACCAAGAACAGAGCCCTGAGGGACCCCCGTAGTTAATTGACAAGGGTCGGACTCAGACCCTCTCCAAGTCACCCTGTAGGTACGGTCTTTCAGGTATGAGGTGAGGAGGGAAAGTGCAGAGCCTGAAACTCCAAGTTTTTGGAGAGTGCGAAGGAGGATCTGATGATTCACCGTGTCGAATGCAGCAGACAGGTCCAACAGGATGATGACAGAGGAGAGGGATGCAGTTTTGGCAGTGTGCAGTTCCTCCGTGACAGCAATGAGAGCAGTTTCTGTGGAGTGACCTGCCTTGAAACCAGACTGGTGCGGATCCAGAAGGTTGTTCTGATGGAGATAACAGGAGAGTTGATTAAAGACAGCGCGTTCAAGTGATTTAGACAGGAACGGGAGGAGAGAGACAGGCCTGTAGTTTATAACATCAGACGGGTTGAGAGTGGGTTTCTTTAGGAGAGGGTTTACTCTTGCCTCCTTGAGACTGTTTGGAAAGTGACCAGAAGTTAGAGAAGTGTTGATGAAATGGGTGAGAAACGGTAGAATATCAGGAGCGATAGTCTGAAGGAGGTTTGAAGGGATAGGGTCCAGAGGACAGGTGGTAGGGCGGGCAGAGGTAATGAGGGTAAGAACCTCACTTGGAGAGAGAGGGGAAAAGGAGGTAAGTGTGTTGGTGGAAGGAGGGTCTGGTGACCCAGCGGTGAGTAAAGGTGAGTCAGAAAAAGAAGAGCGAATATCATCAACCTTTTTTTCAAAGTGGGTAACAAAGTCGCTTGACAGAAGTGAGGAGGGGGAGGGAGCTTTTGGAGGGTCCAAGAGGGTGGAGAAGATGGAGAATAGTTTTTTAGGATTGGAATAGGAAGATTGGATCTTATCTTGAAAGAAAGTGCTTTTTGCCTGAGAGATCGAAGCAGAGAAAGAGGAGAGGAGAGCCTGATAGGTTAGGAGGTCGTCACGGTGTTTGGATTTCCACCATTTCCGCTCTGCTGCCCTAAGGACGGTTCTATTAGCACGCAGTGCATCCTTTAGCCAGGGAGCAGGAGGGGACTGACGAGCCTGCCGAGATGTGAGAGGACAGAGCGAGTCCAGAGTGGATGAGAGAGTAGAGAGGAGAGTTTCTGCAGCAGAGTTTGGAGGCAGGAGTTGGAACGAGTCAGAGGAAGGGAGGGCTGAGAGCACCGACGAGGCAAAGGTAGAGGGGGAGAGGGAGCGAAGGTTACGGCGGACAAGTGCAGGATGAGAAGAGATTAGTTTGTTATGTTTGGAAAGGGGTAGAGAGAATGAAATGAAGAAGTGATCGGATGTGTGGAGCGGGTTTACAGAGAGGTTAGAAGTAGCGCAGTTCCTTGAGAATATGAGATCAAGGACATTGCCAGCTTTATGAGTTGGTGGGGACGGGGACAGTGAGAAAGCAAAGGCGGTTAACAGAGATGTTAGTTCGTCTATCTTCCCTGTCTGGAGGTTGAAGTCTCCGAGAAGTACAGCGGGAGGGCCAGTTTCAGGGATGTGTGAGAGGAGATGATCTAATTCCTCCAAGAAGTCCCCCAAGGCGCCTGGTGGACGGTAGAGAACAACAATGGTTAACTGTATAGGATGGGTTACTGTGACGGCATGGAATTCAAAGGTGGAAGGAGTGAAGTTAGGTAGCTTTAATACTTTATATAGGCAATACAAATACTGCACATTTTACTTCTTGGTGGTCTACTTGTTTGTTTGTACATATTTTAATAACTTGCCTTTTGATTTTATATTTAACTTTACTCTTTCTCCTTTGCCTTTTAAATTGCACTGTACCAGCCAGAGGTTGTGCAGAGGTCGTAACATTTCCGTCAAAATCCAGTATTACCCGTCGGCCTTCCCACAACTCTGACGAGGGGGGGGGGTCCGCTGATCCGAGTTTGTTCTAATCCATCAAAATGACAGACTGCTTTCAGATTTTTCCGTCATTGTTAAAAAAAATCTGTCATAGACGGAAAATATTCGGTTAACGCGACCTCTGGTGTACCAGCTGCTGTAGCGCCGTGTATCACCAGGTTTTTTATTTTAAAGTAAAAAACGCTTTATCCAGTGATAAGACAGAAGAACAGCGTCTGCTCCACGTGTCGGTTGATATGATACAAACAGGAGATGAGCTTCATTTATAAAGTGAAATAAGCTGTCAGATTTTCTAAAGGGTGATTCGTCAGCGGAGAGGAAGAGACAGAGAGGGACGACCTTCTGTGACCTCAGATCAGCTGATTGATGCCAAACCATTTCATCCAAGGTCATATTGCTGTGTTTCTGCAGAACACCAGAGAGAGATGGGCGAAGGAACCGGACGAGTGTCAGGAGGAGGAGCTGCAGGAGATCCTGGTAAACAACAACAAACACTGAGATCCTGGTAAACAACAAACAGTGAAGAGGTTTGATGTTAAACCCTACAAAGGGTTCATGAATTAAAATAGCAAGCATTGAAGTAAAAAGGCTATAAAGGAACTACAGCACGGTCACATGACTTCACGTCACCACCGCTAAGCTAAAGGCGGCTAATGTTGGGCTATAAAGGAACTACAGCACGGTCACATGACTTCACGTCACCACCGCTAAGCTAAAGGAGGCTAATGTTGGGCTATAAAGGAACTACAGCGCAGTCACATGACTTCACGTCACCACCGCTAAGCTAAAGGCGGCTAATGTTGGGCTATAAAGGAACTACAGCACGGTCACATGACTTCACGTCACCACCGCTAAGCTAAAGGAGCCTAATGTTGGGCTATAAAGGAACTACAGCGCAGTCACATGACTTCACGTCACCACCGCTAAGCTAAAGGAGGCTAATGTTGGGCTATAAAGGAACTACAGCGCAGTCACATGACTTCACGTCACCACCGCTAAACTAAAGGCTGCTAATGTTGGCCGTGATGGCATTTAGTCGTCTCATTTAGACACTTGTTAGCAACCACCATTTTTTTAATCCACCAGTGGGGTATTTACTGACGTATTTTAAGTCGTGGAATAAAAATCTCTTCAGCTTGTGTTACTAACCACAGGCCTTATTTCAGGCTAACAACCAAAAACACATTCAGAAAACCATTGACCTCCAGACCAGGGGGCAGGAAGTGCTACAATGTCAGGATTTAGGACTCATGCTTGCACCACTCTAACAGTTCCAGACAGATCATAGTCCAAACAATTAAATCCACAAAAACTCTTTCCAGGTATACTCAAATAAACTCTCAAACTAAATCAATTATCCACAGTACTCTTTGTTAGATCAGGATAACGGCCTTCTTTTCAGGTTCTCATGCTTTATTATTAATGTCTTCATTTCTATTATTTGTCCGCAGTCGGAGGTCCTGCCTGACTCTAAGAAGGTGGAGCTGTTTGAGTTCCACTTCTACGATTATCACCACACTGAACTGGAGCTGGTGAAGTGTGGAATCAAGATGTACTACGAACTCAAAGTGGTGGACAAGTTCCACATTCCCAGAGAGGTGAGTGCATGTTTTATTTGTCGCTTTAGGTTCATTTTTGCACAATGAAACTCTGTGATGAACCTGTGTAAGGGTTGCAATGACAGACGAGTTATCATTTATGAAGTTGGAAGCTCCTTTCAGACATTTTGCAACCGTTATGGGATGAAATTGGAGCTGGAACACAAGGAGGAGATCTTTGAACTGATGTCAGACACTGAGGATTTATCGGAGGTTACAACTAACTCTGGGTTTATCTCCTCGATATTTAAGTTTTATTAGGAGAATAATCAACATTTTACGACAAGATACTGCAAGTTCTTTCCCTAGCAGAGAGTGATGCGCTCCAGGGAGATACAGTATCCACCTGATAAGATGACCATCCTGCTCTCTGCGTCCCATCTGTCCTGTTATTATCCAAGGAAAAGATGGTTTTATGGCTGTTTTTTCATAAAGCAGTCACCTATCTGGGTTAGGTTAGGGTTAGGTTAAGTGCAAGGGATCGGCCACGGGAACGCCGGCTTTTCCGACTCAAAAGGCCTGATTTTCCACTAGTCATTCCGGCCTCTCCAAACATTTTTGGAAAGCTGGTTATTTCCCATTCACGTCTGGGGAATTTCCGTAAGATGGTGGGATTTTGGAACATGGTTAGGTCCGGGCAACTTGCGATTATTAAAACATTTAAAATTCCACATGGTGGTGCTATTCAGATAATTTTGAATTCATCAATATGTACTAGTTAAAATTACGGATTTGAATTATGGGTTAGGGTTAGGGTTAGGGTCATATCTGCTGTGGTTGAAACCTCAACACAACGAAAGGGCCTGCCTCTTCACACCAGGAGTCACGTCTCTCACAAGCTATACTCTCAAATATAATTTAAACTGAGTACAGGGCCGAATAAATAATTCTCTATCACATTAAACGGATAGTTGGAGCCATAAAAACAGTAGATTTATGGGTTTTTCAAACTGCATGTTCTTAAAGGTGAGCTCTGTTATCTTTAGCCCTAGGGTAAGAGTTGACCCTGCGAAAATGTAGCGCCCTCTCACTCATTGTTAACCCAGGGCCATGAGATGCACACTGCCCTTCTTATTGCCCTAAAAATGTGTTGAATTTCTTATAAACGTGAAGCACATTCAGCAGTGCTTTCAGCCCAGTGTTGGGTTTACTCTCGGGGATTTAGCCTCGGACTCAGCCTCATCATCTGCTGTCATATTTTCCAGGCTTTGGTTTGAAAGCTGCCTTAGCTCCATTAGCCTGGGGGTAGTCTTTATAAAGCAATGAGTTAGCATCGCAGGCTAACTCAACTATTCTGTGTTGCAAAGCTCCATAGAGAGGGCCTTCAGCACTAATGAGTAAAACAAGGCTATAAGGGAAGGAGCCTTCACAGCTTTTATTGTTACACATATATCATTACAGTATACAGTATTTATTTGACTTTCAGTGTTTTTTCTTAAAGTCCGAGTACTTATATATGCATTTTACTAGTATAGTTGAATCACTATTGCTGTGTTTGACATCACTTCCAGGTTTCTTTATGCTTTTGGGTGTATTGTATGTTGGCAGGAAGGACTTCAGATGTTCATTGCCAACTTTTAAGCTTAATTGAATGTGAACAGGACCCGAACGTAAGCTACCCACTTAATAAGCAAGGGAAAGTTATTACATTACATATCATTTAGCTGACGTTTTTGTCCAAAGTGACAACAATCACACAGAACAACAAGGAAAGTGCAGATATATTCACTTCAAGCTACTGTAGATCATACCATTAATAACTGCTGGTCAATTAGTTACAAGGCCTAAATGAACATTAACATTGTACAACCTAGCTATGTTGCTTTCTCCCTATTAGATTAGATTACCCATCTATTAATCGCCAATCATTGAACGCTTAAAGCTGTTTCTTTGGTAAGTAAAGGTTGATAAAGCTGGCGACACTAAGTAATAGCAATAATGGTCTAACCAGAAGTTCCAACAAGTGATCAGAAGCTTGAATAATGAAGTGTTTTTGAACAACAGTACACTCAAAATGATGACGTGCGAGAACTAACAACTGCAGAATAATAACCAGAAAACCAATTTGTCTGGAAGTCAATCCAACAACCTGAGGACACAAAAGGAATACAAATCAAGCTCCATCTTGTTTTCATACGAATTCTGTTAATAAAATAGTTGATATCCGGTATCTTCAGTATTCTAGGGATCAGTTAGCGAAGTGAAGGTTATTGGTGTGGCTGAAAAACATCCTTTCATCATACTAACATAAGCATCAATCTGTGTGTGTTGGCAGGCGCTGGTGAGGTTCATCTACTCCCTCAGTAAAGGCTACAGGAAGATCACCTACCATAACTGGAGACACGGATTCAACGTGGGACAGACCATGTTCACCCTGCTGATGGTGAGGCAGATCAGTCACGACCTCACACCACAACAAACTCCACGTCCTGCCCAGTGTCTGTGTCTGATATGCAGTCAGAATGTGTCTCTACTCCTGAAGACTCAATAACTCCAGGAGTGACACCGCAGTGAGACATCAGGTCTTGGTTTTAGACGTGCATCATCTTGTTCATTACATTACATTTAGCTGACGCTTTTGTCCAAAGCGACTTACAGTAAGTTAACTTAAAACATCGTATTTTGAGTTCTATCTCAGAGGAAACTCGTCTTATTAGGAAATCACCAACTAACTAACTTCAGAACACCTTTGAGCATTAGCGGCTTATATTGTAACACGACATCTCCTGATTCTGGTCAGATATAGTTCAGAATGAGTTCTCCAGCTGATTACAAGATGTGATTTATATAAATATCACTTCTTATTTCAACAGATCTCACCAAGCTCATTTTCACTTGTTCTATTGGCAGCTTGTTTTCATTATTTCTTCAACTTGTTTTTGGAGCAGCATTTTTTCAAGTGTCCATCCTTACATCCTTACATCCTTACATCCTTACATCCTTACATCCTTACATCCTTACATCCTAACGTCCTAACGTCCTAACGTCCTTACATCCTTACATCCTTACATCCTTACATCCTTACATCCTAACGTCCTTACATCCTTACATCCTTACATCCTTACATCCTTACATCCTTACATCCTAACGTCCTAACGTCCTTACATCCTTACATCCTTACATCCTTTACAATCCCGTACATCCTTACAACATCCTTACAACAATCCTTACATCCTAACGTCCTTACAATCCTTACATCCTAAACGTCCTTACAAGCAGAATCCTTAAACATCCTTACTCCGTACTTACGTCCTAAAACACGTCCTAACATCCTTACATCCTTACAATCCTTACATCCTTACATCCTTACGTCCAACCTCCTTACAATCCTTCACATCCTGTACAATCCTAACGTCCTTAACAATACCATATACAATCCTAACGAACCAGTCCTTACATCCTATAAGCAATCCTAAACGGTCCTTACATCCTTACATTCCCTAACGTCCTTACGTCCCTTACCGTCATTACGTCCTTACAATCCTTATCATACTTACATCCTAACGTCCTTACAATCCCTTACATCCTAACAGTCCTTACACATCCTGACAATACAGGCTGGGGAAACGTCCTTACATCCTTCCAATCCTTACATCCTAACATCCTTACAATCCCTAAAGTCCCTAAACGTCCTTACAACATCCTTACAAATCCGTTACAAAGATCCTTACATCCTTCAAATCCTAAATCGTCCTATACGGGGCCTACGAGGTCTTACATCCTTATACAGCCTTACATCCTAACGCCTTACAACATCCTTACATCCTTACGGTACTAAACGTCCCTTACGTCTACTGTACTCGTAAACGTCCTACCTAAATGGTCCTAGAACAATCACATCCCTAACGTCCTAACTTCCTTACATCCTTTACGTCGCTAACATCAACATCCTTAACTCCTTAATCTCAAACCGTCCTAAAACATCCTTAACATCAACATCCTTATATCCTTAACAAATCCTAAACGTCCTAAACGTCCTATAACGTCCGAACATCGCTTACACGTCCTTGACAATCCTTACATCGCTTACATCCGTAACGATCCTTAACATCCTTACAATCCTAGACGTCCTTACAATCTTACAATCCCTTACGGTACCTTACAAATCCTTACATCCTAACGTCCTAACGTCCTTACATCC